CTGTTGGCAAGTGCTGGGTATGCACCAGCTCCTGAATGTACCTGAACCTGCTCCAGCGTTGGTCAAGTCTGGTCTTGAAAGAGCTCTCACTCGGTGCCGTCACAACACTCTGGTAGATTGTTCCAAGAGTTCACAACTCTCACTCTGAAAAGTTTGCACCTCACAGTTTTCTGGACCTGCGGCTTCTTCAATCTTGAGCTGTGACCCCTTGTGGGGTGAGCGTCCGCCAGCTCCAAGTAAGGACACTCGACTGAGTAGTGCCCCTTGAGATACTTATACACCTCAATTAGGTCCCCCCTTGCCCGTCTGTAGTATAAGCTAGACAAGTTCAGGCGCTCCAATCTCTCAGGGTAGCTGAGGTGGCCTGTGAGATGGCATGTTGCCATTGTTAATAATAATAATATTAGCTGGCCTCCACAGAAGTCAGCTGCTTCATGGATGCAGGAAACCATATGATCAGCTTAGTGAATCTGGGCCCAGGGTACTAACAAAACCACAGGGTAATACTTAGGCCACAGGGCACTTTTCCCCAAGGAAATACCAAGACCACAGGGCACTAGCTATACCCCAGGGAAATACCAAGACCACAGGAAAATACCTAGACCACAGGGTAATACTTAGGTAACAGGGCACTAACTATACTCCAGGATAATACCAAGACCACAGGGAAACACCAAGACCACAGGGTAATTAATACTTAGGCCACAGGGCACTAACTAGACCACAGGGAAATACTGTACCTAGACCACAGAGCAATCCTGTACTTAAACGACAAGACACCATGTAGACTACTAGGCTATATTAAGACCGATATATTATCAAGAACACATGACCCCCCCATTGAAAAAAAGTATATGGCACTAAACAAAAACACAACCTAGAGAAATTTCCATTGCCTAAAACACAAGATGTCACCAATATCAAGCACAGATGCCAAACAAAAATACAGGGAACCTCATAAAATCAAAGGATCCAAAACATAAGCACTGGGACCACACAATAACACAAACACTTAAAAAGAACAAATGACCTTAACTAGAACATCCCACATTAAATGAAGAACAAAACCACCAAGATCATAGGACACAAATAGTAACTGTTATGATTTAGTCTGTTCACCAACAAGATGGAACACTTCAACAAGAACACTAGACACTAAAAATAACATTGAAGGGAAGAAGAACACGAGACCCTAGAACAACACTGGATATTCACACGATTAATGAAGGCAACAGGAATACTAAACACAAATATGACACACAACAGTAAGGATAACACTGAATGCTACTAATGGCACAACATCACAATCAAAGAACATTAGAGAGAACACTGGACATTTCTATGAACACAGGACACTAAGAAGAACAAAGTACAAGGGTACACTCTATAGAACATTGAAGGCAACAAACAGGACATAACCAAAGAGACAGAGAACAGTAACATGAATAATGGATACAACAAATGGGAAACTATGAAGTACAGTACACAGGACATGAACAAGAATACTGATGCAACTGACCAGACACTTCCAAAGGCACAGGACACTAACGTGAACAATGAATGTAACAAATACAACACTATCAAAATCCCAGGAAAATAAAAGAATACTAGACATAAAAAACAAGACTGCCAAGGACACAGTTTTTAAAAAGTAGCACACAACAGGCCCTTCAAATTCACGGGGATTAGGTTCTCAAAATGGCCGCAAATCACCAAATCCGTGAATATCATTTACTGACTGAGGGGGGCGGCAATCATTTACTGACGGGGTGGGGGAGGGAGTTTACATTTTTACTTGTTTAAGAAAAGTATATTCCTTTTTTGAGTTTGCCCCCTTAGGACAATTATTACTTTTACTTTTACTTTTTTTACCTGTATTACCTGCTTTATTGGGCTAATGAAATATATATATATATGTGTGTGTGTTTGTGTAGACACACATACACACACAAAACATACAAATATATAATAGTGGGAAAATCCTCTCACAAATACTGTACTGTAATCAGAAAAAAATGTAGTATTAAAAATGTTGAGTCTACCCTCAAGTCTACTCCGTGCTTTATTAATAACAAAGCACGGAGTACACTTGAGGGGAGACTCAACATTTTTAATATTACATTTGTTTCTGATTATTTATGAGAGGATTTTCCCATTATTATTTACAGGTAAAGGAAATTACTGGCTCTAGAACAAATGGCGCCCTGTCCTGGCCGAAAATTGCAGGCAATTTTAATACTACCTGCAGATATTCTTGGGTACATCCAGGGTGTCATCCGCAAATAATAGATGACCGCGAAATAAAAATCCGTGAATTATTCAGGAGTACTGTATTACGAAGTACACAGAAAATTAAAGAGAATTGAGGAAATCATCCAAAAAATTAATTCAGTATTGAAAAAAAAAACACTACTGTATACACTTGAGAAAATAATGGACAACAGCCAGAACAATAAATACTTGTAAAATCTCTGTACATTTCAAGAACACCAACGACAAAACTGGATATTACCAAGAACTCACTTCAGTACATACTGTATAGGACACTACAATACTAGAGTATTGGGCATAAATCCCACTACCAAAAACATATAAATAAATTTGTGATGTTATATTTTAGTTTAAACAAATTAATACAGATAATTAATGGGAAGTAGTACTGTACTTACCTCGTGTCCTAAGGGTTGTTGGTTCAATCCTGGAGCACCCTTAATCCATCCAAATATAAATGGTTACACAACTTTGCAGTTGGAGAAATGAAGAATGTCAAGTGTAGTGCCAGCCATGCTGTATCCATGTGTACTGAAGGCTCAACACTAAGCTGAATTGTCAATGAACTTAATAGGTCATCAGGTCTTAGGGACCCATCATTCACTTAATAATTATAATATTATTAATAATAAAAAATTAAACTCTGTAAAAACAAGGATACAATAAAACCTTACTGGACACTTACATACTGATATATTCAAAAAGAATGTCAGACATTCCAAAAAATACTGACACATGATACAGTACTCTGAATAAGCTGTGAATAATGAAAATATGGTTTTACATCAACAGCTGCACATATTTTAGGCTGTACACAAAGTGACTTGGTGGGAGAAGTGATTGGCATATATATATATATATATATATATATATATATATATATATATATATATATATATATATATATATATATATATATATATATATATATATATATATATATATATATATATATATATATATGAGAGAGAGAGAGAGAGAGAGCCAAAACATAAATGGTTACAGAACAGTGGCTGTGATTTTCCATTTTAGATGTAGAATTACACAAAAATAATTAGCATAGTGCTGAAAAATAGGGCAAGGAAATTCCAACAGATATATAAATAAGCAAACAATATAGAACAATCTAAAGGCGAACAGTTCCTCAAGTTAAACTACAAACATAATGGCCTGTAAAGAGGTGGAACTAAATCATCAAGAAAATGAATTGCATAGTTGAGAGAATTTATAAAACATCAAGCATTCAACATCAATTAAACTATAGAGCACTACTGCCCTCAAGTTAATCATTTGTGATCTTCCTTGTTATAAGCTGCTGCTGCTGTGACCTCGATACTTTCTTTTGTACTTAAGTTTCACCATGCTAAATAACAAATAATACAACATATGCTAAAGTAAATGTGGGTGCACTCTGTTTATCTTTCTTTCATTCAACCAAATTTTGTAAATACAGTATCTCCATCTCACAATTTAGTAACATGTACCATACTTGCTGTCAATGTATAATTACTTTTTTGTGCATCTTTAAAAATTCATAAATACTGTATGATGATGACAGTACCAAAAATTGACATTATGAAACTCGTATAATGAAATAAGATGAGAGAAAATAATAGTTTAACAAAGATTTGATATCTAAACAGTAAATTAGATAAAGTTTTGACAATTCGTTAATAATAAAATGTTCAAAAATTAAGTACTATGTGGTGCTTCTAATAATTTAAAACCACATATTAGCCAGGGATTATCGTACTTCAATGTCTTTTCATCCTGATTTCTTCATCAATCTTCAGAATCCACTTGCCTTCCTCACTCTTACTAATTAGTAGTAAAACAAACCAGCTTATGCTTCTTCCCCATTCAAAATATTGCTGTCAGATAAGCTTATCTATTCTCATTTGCCTCCTTAAAACAAGACTTACTCAGGTATAAAGGAAATCTCTCAAAAGAGAATTGAAGCTGATAATGTATGAGGTACATATATACTGCATAAAGCCTTCACATAACTTTCTTTAAACATTCTCACTGCATACCATCAATTATAATTACATTACTGATAACAAATATAGTCCTGATTTACTTTGTGTATTATGTATGATTTTAAATACAATATTGCAAAAAAATAAAATAAAAAATAGTTGTGTAAGAAGAACTAGTTACAGTATAAAGGTGGAAAGCAAAATTTTGGATAATAAAGAATCAAGACAAAAGAATTACAACTGACTGAGGTATTCAAGAATGACATAATATAATTGTATTCCTTTTTGTCCTTTTGGGAAAATATAAAACAATTGCTAAATAAAATTTGAAAATCAAATGAAGAAAGAAAAAAGAAAAAGAATATATATACAGTACTCTATTGTGTTCCATCATTATTTGCACAAAAATCTCCCATGAATTCCATATACAATACAGTAAGTAAAATATAAATCCAGTATCAAGATTCTCAAAATAAATATAATTGTACATTTATATGAATATACAATTGTCCTATTAGGAGTTGAAAATTAACCAAAAAGCAAGAAAATCAAGAAATCAGTTCTCCAGTTTTATATCACTGTACAAAGGAATTATAAGAAAAAAATCTTGGAAGCTGCAAATAATTCTTATACAGTATATATATATATATTATATATATATATATATATATATATATATATATATATATATATATATATATATATATATATACAGTATATATATATATATACAGTATATATATATACAGTACTGTGTATATATTTGCAGATGAAAATTTCTTTATTCAAGTGTAATGGACAGTTGAGGATCTGGAAGGCAGAAAAATGATTATTAATGACTAAAACACAAGCCACTTGAGAACATAAATAAATGTGCATGTGAGAGAAAGAATAAGTGCACCCATGAGAAATTTTCCTGCTGGGGCCTTTCTTTCACATGAAATCATCTTTGTGTTAAATCCTCCACATCTTTGCATCATTACTGCTGACAATTACTGTACGTACAACCACATTGTGATTCGATTACTTTAGGAAATTCTGGACAATATAATATATTGTCCAGAATTTACTTATACTATTATAAGACCTATTTGTAAAGACCTTCCTGCCAGTTGCTGACTAGTTGGTACTGAGCTGGTACTACCTGTTCAATAATTATAAACTACATATTGATATGTCTAATGCTTGTCCTGTCATACCATGAAAGGCAGTGGCATGACCACCTGCTGTGGCACGATGTTCCATACATGGAGTTTTTTATAGTGCCTTTTCATCCCTCGTGTATAATGGTTTAACCACAACAGGGATAACATCCATCATAGCTTTCTGTTAGAATATCTCAATTCTGTTCCTGCTTTGGTAATGGGCTTTAGACCTGACCAATGTCTGTGCATAATATGGCTGCCACATCTATTTCAGTAATTGTTTTGCTGCTCTCTTTAGTAGTGTTTTGTAAACTATATTCAGTTAACTAATCATCAGGTTTTCACTGATACAGTATCTGTCATTACCTGAACCATCTTTATTCTGAATTATTATTAAGTCTTTTCCCCTATGATCTGAACCAAGTTTATTTATTTTGTAATAACCTGTACTATTTTTCAAAGGTATAAATTTTCTGTTACTCCCAGATATTGTAATAACCTGTACTATTTTTCAAAGGTATAAATTTTCTGTTACTCCCAGATATCTGAAGTTCACCTAGTATAATGTACATAGAAAATAGGAAATTAGTTTACAACAGCTTTATCCCTTAATTACTTCTTTTAAAATCATTAATGGATTATGATACCTAACACAACACTGCCAAACTTGACTGGGGCTCAGGTGTTAGTACCGCCACTTAAGGGTGTCTAAGGTGTAAATATGCACAATCTAGTAAAAAAATAATTCAACTTCAACTAACAAAGGTTCTGAGGAATAAAAGGTCCAAACTATAAAGACACTACTATTGTCTAACTGCAAATGGTAAAATGACTGATAACTGGATAAGTGATTACTGATAACTTTTATGGTACTATCAGTACAGTACTTCAATCTGATTTCATACAGGTCAACATACCTTAAACAGAAGAAATGACCCATTAAACAAACAAACACATTTTGTATTACCAACCTAGAGACATGCTTCGAAACAAACATTCATCAACTGAAGAGGAGTGACGTGGAGATGGTAAGTGATCCCACACTTCATCCATGAAATTTACCTGAAACTCCAAAATGTACATTAACATTTGTAATTCCTAAAGCAAATATTTTAAATTTCTCTTCAAAATAAAGATTTTACCCTAACTTAACCCAATCCAAACTAACCTGACCTAACCAAAACCATAGCAAAATCTTGCTTCTGGTTATTTTCCAAGCAATGCTTTTCGGTTTCTGAGCCCAGCATACGAGGTGTGATCCAAAAGTTCCCAGACTGGCTTCATAAAATCTTTATTTTCAAGATATTACAGTGAAACTTTAGTCACCCTTAAAATATTCTTCAAAGGCCTCAATGCAGTGCTGAATCCCCTCCTCTCACTTCTGAAAGTCTTTGTTGGTGGGGCTGGAGAACACCTTCTGCGATGTGTCATGGCTCTCCATTGGCAAGTACAGGGCATGCACCGGCTCCTAAATGTACCTGAACCTGCTCCAGTGTTGGTCAAGTCTTGTCTTGAAAGAGCTCACACTCGGTGCCGTCACAACACTCTGGTAGATTGTTCCAAGAGTTTACAACCCTCACTCCAAAAAAGTTTGCCCTCACAGTTTTCTGGACTTGCGGCTTCTTCAATCTTGAGTTGTGACCCCTTGTGGGGCGAGCGTCCGCCAGCTCCAAATAAGGACACTCGACTGAGTAGTGCCCCCTGAGATGCTTATACACCTCAACTAGGTCACCCCTTGCCCGTCTGTAATATAAGCTAGACAAGTTCAGGCGCTCCAATCTCTCAGGGTAGCTGAGGTGCCGCAGTGCAGGCACCAGTCTGGTGGCCCTCCTTTGAACATTTTCAACCAACTGACAGTCCCTAGCATATCTCGGGGACCAGACGGGGTGACAGTACTACAGATGAGGAAGCACTTTACTCTTGAAGATCGTTACGAGGGACGGACCGTCTAGATATCTGAATTACCTTCTTATAAAACCCAATAATTTATTTGCCTGGTTTACCTTCTTTTTGCAATGGCCCAAGAATTTCAGCTCATTGTCAACATACACACCTAGGTCCTTCTCACATTCAGTCTCAACTAGCGCAGTTTCTTCATCCTGTTGGGACATATGATACGCCTCCTTACCGTTGGTATGCCCCAGGTGCATCCTCTTACACTTCGTGACATTGAATCTCAGCAGCCATTTCTTCGACCATTCCTGAAGCCCACAGAGGTCCCTCTGCAGCTCTTCACAGTCCGCTTGGTTCTTAATTTCCCGAAATAACTTGGCGTCATCGGCAAACATTTGTATGGAGGAGTGTACAACGTCAGGCATGTCATTTATGAAACAAACAAACAACAGCGAGCCCAATACACTGCCCTGTGGTACCCCACTTGTGACAGGTACAGATGACGATTTCGTGCCATTAATCACCACACACTGCTTGCGGTCATGTAGAAAGTCTTCTATCCACGCTATGACATTTCCCCAAAAATTTGAGTTAAAAATATTTTGTTCCTTATGATAATTACGGTACTGGTATCTTTTATTTGTCACTTTCTATATGTAAGAATCAGTGTGCATGTAATTAAATAATGAGTTACAAAATAACCATAACAGAACAGATGGTATGGTTGGAAATATCTTCACTTGGCCCGGGAATTACTTGGGGCTGATTTTAAATAGGATTTATGGGAGAGCATCCGTAACCCGAGTCATCCCTAGCCCGAGTCATGTCTATATATTTGGGGTGGGGTAAATTTAGTCTCGGGTGCACAAACTAATACAAGGTTAGACAACTCTGCTCGAGTACTTTGCTTATCCCTTTGTCCTTGCATTGAGAGGATAAGCTTCTCTTACACGATTTTTTGAATGAGACAGTTAATACCAATAAACCAATTGGAAGTTTCAGGGGTGGTAAAATCTTAGTCAACCTTACTAGCCAGTGACCAGGCTAAGTCTACAAGCCTGCAAATTTTTCAGTTGTCCCAGGGAGAGAATTGAAGTTTATCATAATTTCTGTGTTTGTTTATGCTTGCTCATTCACCAACTCTTTGTTTGTATCTGTATCTGTGTGTGTGTGTGTGTGTGTGTGTGTGTGTGTGTGTGTGTGTGTGTAAAGAAAATCTTGAGAGTTTACAACAAATACCTGAGTTGCTAATAGAACTTCTGCTTCCTTTTTTGTAAGTGGTCTACCAAAAGATGCACTTTTGGTACACTTGGCCTTTTTTGCATGATGCCCACTAGCTGCTATACCTGTACTGGTAACCCCTTCCTTTAAAGAAAGACAAAATGAAAGAACTGATAAATGCTCTAAGTTGTGATTTTATATTAAACATTTGGCAGATTTATCAGAGTTAATCAAAAGTGCTTCAATGCCACCCTGACTAAATACTGCATAAAGTATGACGAGTGGATATACAAATCTAGTACAAGTAAGAAAAATTTAAGAGGAGGATGGTTAAAAATTTCAGAGATAAGAAAAAGAAAATTTGTAGTAACATTTACCTTCACAGTATACAGGAGGACTATCATACTCTGAAATTAGTTTGGTACTTTTGGTCAACCTGACACATCCCTTATCTCCCCATGTTATGATGGGTTCGCTCTACCCGGTGTTTTGGGGGAATACAACCTCGGTGTAAAGCGAGTGGGCAGTGTATTTCCATATCCCCTAACATTTCCATAGTAATTACATCTACTACTGATGCCTTTCCACTCTTCAGCTTGCCTGTAGCCTTTCTCACCTCCTCCAACTCCTCGCGTATTTTTCCCCTTCACTTTAACCCACTGGTACTCCTGACCAAAGTCGGAAACCTCAACACGTTGCAGTCTTTCAAAACAAACAACGTTTACAATCTCTCTTACAACCTCTCCCCATGTCATATTTGGGTTACCCCTAAGCTCCCCTTTCTTCTATATTCAAATTTGTACATCACTTGACTCAACTAGTCTCCTCCATTCTCTCTACATGTCCAAACCATTTAATTCAAACTCTGTGCATAACCTCACTAATACTCTCAATACCCAGTTTCTTCAGTGTAGTCCAAAATGACAGAGCCCCACTCATAAGAACCTGATTTTCCTTCATCTTCAATTCCAGCAAACCACAGCAGTCAGCAGGGCCTTCATTGATGCCCCTAATAGTAATACTGTAAAAACCCATTTGATTTTAATTTTTTTAATTATTTCCCCAATTAACAGCTTACTAGCCATTCAGGCAGTTGGTCTGGTTTTTTGTCAATTTGCTATGAACTTTAAATTGGCTTTGCATACACACATATACACACACACAAAAATAAAAAAATTAAAAAAACAAAAAAACTCTTACTACTATGACAGAACCCCATAATTTGACTTTTTTTTTTTTGGTAGGAATTACTTATCTACAGCCTAATGACATAATGTTGTGACAAAATTACATTCTTTATTGGATAGCCAAGGAAAGGTAACCCTTGGAAATTAGCTATTTAGCTATATCAGTCAAATCAGTTCCACTTACTGTATTAGCAGAAAACCTCACCTGTGTTAAGCTTACAACCTCTCCTCTTTCTCTTTTAACGTTGTCTGACTCAGTCTGAGAGGCTGTTCGTGGTCTTTTCCCTGCAAAATAATTTCATAACTGAAAGTGCATTAAAAATGCATTCATTACAAATGAAATCATACCAAGTATTGGCATTCTTTATTCCTTTCAAGTAAAACATATTTAAGATATAACATAAAAAGAACTCTGCAAGTGCCAACTATAGGATAGCTAGTGTAATTAGAAGTCAAATCAAAGAGGAAAACAATGAAGGCAAACAAGATACTGTATTTGGAATGGAGGAATCCAAAGTAATGTGTGGAAATTGAGGTGTCAAGATGTAATACATACTCCTATACAGTAGCAATACAAGTTTGATCAATATCGAATCATTAGATTATATGCACTTCTTCAACTATTCCACAACTACCAGCAGTCTTTCCGTTCTTCATTTTGTAAATGACTTTCTTCATCCCTTCTCTTTCAATCCTCATGCATGGTTCCTGCACAGGCTATCCTGTTCCTAGGCTGCCCCTGTCCCATTCAAACTCCTCACTCATCAGATGATCAAAGTAAATTTTCTGTGCCTATATGATTTCCTCATCATCAGCAATCACATTATCAGTCATTTCTCACACACTGCTCACTTACATGCAGTAAAAGTCCAAAAATCCAGATGCCAGAAACCCGGACCACCCGAGAATCCGGACTTTTCGAAAATTCAAACTTTTTTTTTAGTGGGCTTTTGTGTGTATGTGCGCATGCGTGAGCGCCACAGCTGCACAGCGACAACAAGCGACCACGTGGTCGCCACTTTAAAACGAGCAATCAAACTGTGACAACATATGTAATTTTGAGTCCAACCCTTTCCATTTACAGAGTATACTGTACAAGCCCATAATAATGGCTCCTAAAGTAGATAAACTTCGTTGTGTGAAGAGAAAGAAGAACACGTTGAAATTGAGTGACAAACTTGAAATAATTAAGAAACTAGAACGTGGTGTGAGCAATACTGTTCTAATGGAAACATACGACATTGGAAAGTCTACAATTTATGATATAAAAAAAGGCAAAGAAAAAAATTCTAGAATTCACAGCTTTTTCTTTAAAACTGCTCATTTTGATAAATGAAGCATGCTATATTTGCTAATGAATAAACTATCAAAATGTACCTGTTCATCTCTTCTTTATTCCTCCTTAAATTTGAATTTTAAAAGTACTGCCTGAGAATCCGGAAAATCCAAAAATCCAGACCGACCCAATCCCCAAGCAGTCCGGATTTTTGGACTTCTACTGTAATTTGTTTCCCAATGTTTGCCTTATTATTCTGTACACCTCACATCTAGCATCTGTATTATTCAGCATATCCACAAATGACTCCTACTCATGCTTCTTAGCCTTGTAAACCTCATAATGGACCCTGGGATTGGCCTCCAGGTACTCCTGTTAACAAGCTCCTTCCAAGTCTTATACAACTGTTCTCTGATTAATGTCCCAACTGCAATTACTTCTCTACTCTGTATACTTCCTTGTTTATTTCCCTAAACATAATTACTCCTACACCAATTTTTCTTCCATCTCCTCCTGCCTGTAACATTAATATCCTTCCTCAAGCTCCACTCTCCCCTTTCAACAATTATACCATCTCCACCCTTCTTCCTGGCAGTAATCCCAAATTCAGGGAGACCTGCAATGCAGTTTTTCACCAATCTCTCATAGTTATTATTATTTTATCATTTCAAGGGTGCCTCACCTGGTTGGAGTACAGTAATTATATTTGTAATTTAATTGAAAAGCAATTAAATACAACATTTTTTGTAATTGTATTTGACAACTTTACCAATAAAGTAATTGTAATTAAGAGATGAAATGCTATTGCAATTCATGATAAAAGTGTCATTGGTTCATTAAATCATGTATACCAATTTTCAAACACGGGATGGAAATTAATGCATATTCCCAATTCAAATCACCGTGGTGGTCAGGTTGCTGCTACCATCTGGTACTGGCCACTGAAGCAGCTAGTACAAACAAACACAACCCTATAGCTATCCACTCTATGCTTGTGACCATTTTTTTTTACCATTTCTTTAACTACAGTTATGTTAAATGCTTTTTGAAATCAATACATATACAGTACACTGAATTAGTGAATGAATGAGAAAAAAAAATACTGTAAAAGATAATGAATATTTTGTGTATCTGGAAAATAAAATGAGTGAATTTATGCAGCCTATACTGTACATCATTAGGTGGATACTGTCACCTCCATCAGCTGGCCACTGTTGCCACTAGATGTGGCACATGATCCATGAATGAATATATTATGGTCTTATACTGTATATATATATATATATATATATATATATATATATATATATATATATATATATATATATATATATATATATATATATATATATATATATATATATATATATATATATATATATATATATTTTCATAACAAATATGAGGGAATTTGTTAATATATAACAGATGTAAGCAGGTATACACAGTTGAAAAAGTATCTATCCTTACTTTGTGTGAAACAACAGGACACCATGGACAAAGGATTTTCACAATCCTACAGACACACGAGCCATATTGATAATTTTTAAATTCATTGGACCCTTCTGGGAAGAAACATTTTTTGTTTTACCATGTGTACAACAGGTAGTTGACAAGTGTCTACTAGGGCCTGCAGTACTGTACTCCTAGGCAGCTGCATTGGCTGACTAACCTGTGATAAATATGGTAAAATCTGAGTTTCATTGTGTGGGGCTTCTACATTATGTATGTGTGCCTTATTGATATATATAACATAGACATGAATGTCTATATTCTTAATAAGGTCGAATTAATACATGGAAATAGCTATTTCTATGGCTTTAGTCACCGGTTAAAATATGGTATAAGCAATAGCTTTTTAACACAGTGCCCACCTTCACTCCTCCATTGCTATTCAGTGATAAGAGTTTGCATCCCTAGCATATCATTTCACGACTGAACATGACACCCAAGTATATTAGGTTGGGTTAGGTTAGAAATAAAGAGTAATGATGATACTCTTCGGACGTGATCTCTGCCATGATTTACCAAATGGCGGCTATTCAGGATTGGTCAACAGTGATGGATACAATGAAAAAGGGTCTCTGTTACCAACAAGATCAACTTAGTCAAAGAGAACCAGGCTTTTCTCCATGAAATAAAAAAGCTGGAGAGCAGGGATCATCATTGTGGGTTTGATGCTGCAGCAATATGTTAAAGAAGGGACTGTGCCATTCTCAAGTGATCCGCTACTCTACTGGAAGTAAGCACCCTCAACTCTTCTCTCACTGAAGAGTCTTGCAGGGAGATGGTGGGATGTATTGCTACATCTGCTCCTTCTGAACGTGTCTTCTACATTGCAGAAATTTTTTCACTCCAAGCAGAGCCTATCTTGGGGTCACTTCCTTACAATCAATGATCAGGTGTAACAGATATGTTTTTGAAAAGTTGCCTCCCTTGTAAGTAATAAAAGATCTTTTAAAGACAATCATGGACCTTGCAAGAATGAAATTATAGAAATTACTCATTTAGGACATACCATTTTATTAAAATAAAAAGTATAGTAACTGCAATTATAATGTAATTGAAGTTTTGGGGGATACCCCAACATATGGTAGCTGTTCCAAGGATCTTGGCTCACTTTTTACTGGTGCCTGGATTTTGGTACATCTGTTAATCTGCATGTGGTAGCTTTCCCTGTGTTTAACATTATTTAGTCATTTTTGGTCCTACATGGTGCTGCCTTGCCTCTAGTGACATTGTTTCTCTTGCAAGTTTTTCTTCCCCTAGCATTTCACTCTTGAGTAGAAACTGACAATGCTACAGTCCATAAAATTTTGTACGACTTCATAGAAATTGTATTCACTTCTATATTTTATCCCAAAGTCCCTGTGCTCGTTCTTTATCTTTTTTTTCCCCTTTATTTTCACACCAGAGGTCACTGGTTGGGAACTTAACATCTGTAGTGTTTTCCCTGGAGACCTCTGGCAGGTGAGGAGCTGGCCATAACAACATTTGTTCCTATACCAACTTTATGATAATACATCACTACTCTACATGCTACTCCACAAACTAAAAAGAAAAGAAAAAGAAAAACCCTAAGGAAAAGAAAACTAATATTGTCATGGGAAGAATTTTTAAAATTCTTAAATAATAAATTTAAATGTGCAGAAAATATATCTTCATTATCTTTTATTACTAATAAAGTGTAATCTAGCAAATTACTGTATGACAAGAAAGAGTTGGGTTACCATGAAGAGACTTTTGAGAGCCAAGTGCACAGCAAGGGTCAATATTTTCCTTATCACTACCTGAGTGTGATGACCTCATTGGTTGACTTGACCCTTCTTGACTTCCTAGTATCGGTGCCTCTACTTCAGAAGTTGTACTCCTAGAAAAATTTAATTAATTTACATTAATTATTAAATATAAAAAAACAAATCTATAAACCTCACACCACTTCAACTCATACAAGTGAGGTGCAACTTGTGTATAACTACTAGAAAGAACAAAATCCATTTACTTTTACTCATGATGAAATAAACTACCGGTACCATGTAAATTTTGACAGTAATTAGACCAAGACATTATTTTTATTGTACTGTACATCATAAATAGAATTTCAATTTCATATAAATAATAATACATATGTACACACACACACAGCTATCCTTCCATCACTAGTTCAACATCTTTCCTCATTACTTTTGAGAGTTGAGGTTAATGGCAAAATTTTCAAACAAGTGCTCAAGTGCTGTATCTTTGGCTTGATAAACCTCCTCAAATCTCAAAATTTGATTTATACAGTTTTGCCACTGTTCTGGGGCTACTTGTTGGGTTGCTTCTTTCATGATTTCTTCAACACTCTTCAATGATTGACTGGCATAAAAGTTCCATCTTTTTGCCTCAGTCTTTACTTGGGCCCAAATGAGTTTAGTGGGATTGAACACACAATGACAATGTGGCAGTCTGAGCACTTTGTGTTCGTGATTTATTGCTTTGTGGTCTAGTTCATCAAAAAAATTTATGTGTTTTGTTTGCATTAGTTCTGCCTTTGTGTAGGAAGGATCACATGACATTGTTGGATTTGAACCACTGAATTATTTGACACTTTTTAAATGTTGCTTGTTGGCAACTTGTTAAGAAACTTGGAGTGATATGGTGCACTATCCATGATGATAAGTGATCCTTCTTAGAAGTTGGGAGTAATTGCTGTCTAGCCCAGATCTTGAATCATTCATCATCCATGAAGTCAAGATAATCATTCTTGACACTATTTTTTGGATCTGAATATCAGCAAAGTTCCAGGTATAAATCCATGTTCACCTCCAGAGTGGACTAAGCTGAACCTAGCTCTTCCTGACTTCAGTTTGGGCCCAACTGATCCATCCTCAACAGTCCAACAACACTCCACACATTGATTTTGATTGACTTAAGTTTCATCCAGGTACAGGTATACCTATGGGAGTGGGATTGGAACCTTCTCTGATGCTTTTAATTTCTCGAGGTACTTTTTCTTGCAGCAATAATATCTTCTCTCCCCATCAGAATCGCTCTGCTTCTTTGAACTTTTCTAAGCTTGAACCCCATTAGCTTAACAACTTAATAGAAACTTTGTGATCCAGTGATACTCACAGGAGGCTCCTTGACCATCTGCAGCAACCCAGAAGTGTAAGTAGCTCCTCCCTTTTACAAAATGAGAGAAGCTCTCTTCTCACATATTCCTTGTCGAACTCGTTGAGTCAGCCCATCACAGCTGAAGGTTTTGCTAATGAACCTTATGAGTGTACTAAGCTATCAGGAAATTGACTCTTCACAGCCTTAATCATTTGCACAAAGATACTTGAGTTGCAGTTCCTGCCTGCTCTTCTATTTCAGTAGTGGTGTTACAAGATCACTCAGGTCTTTAGTACTGGTAAACATTCACAATGATGTTCTGACTCTGACTGGTAAGTCTGCATCGGGAGTGTCGGTAGAAACTCCCACCGTCTGGCCATGTTGCTACATTATTCTTACAGTACTACGGAGTCGTCCTGCACACCCCTACCAATTAAAAATCAGTTAATACACATATATAGCACAGTAATTGTAACCAATTACATAATAGGAACAATCACACAAAAGGTATATTTGGTTAAATACAATACAAAGGGTGTTCTACATTGGCAATGACAAGAGGAAAAATATGATGCATGATGCATTCACTGAAAACTTCTGATTTGATCTCACTTACAATATCAGTGAAATATTCTGTTCAGTAGGATCGCCACTTTTGGGCCTAACTCGAGCCTCGAAACTGAAAACTGTGATAGTGGTGCACAATGTGTACATGTTAAAGGGTCGATTAGTACCGGTTCTGCCACTTTATCACCTCGATAACCCCCTATAACCACCACTAAAAATTACAACCATTTATTCAGCCAAACTCATATAACAAGTACAAGTGATACAGAGTACTGTATAGTAGAGTACCAACCTTGGCACAATCGTTGAATAGCTTCTGTAATCTAAGGCAGGGAACTGTCATTATTGGCCTCCTGCCCCCCCCCCCCCCCCCCCCCACCACCACCAACTAATGTATCGTGCAACACATTCCCATAGCCTTCAAAGTCCAAGTCTTCAGTCTGTAACACCTCATCCACTGTCCTGTCATCTGCTTCATCCATATTCATGTCTCGTAAGGCAGCTGCTGGTTCTCGTTTTAGAAACCTTGTGGTGAGAGATGGATGGCGGGCATTCACTCGTGCACTGTAGATGGCTATTAAGAGGTTCAGATGAGGAAAGACGATGGTTTGAGTGTCACAGCCAAAATGCGCACGGCCATATTTCGGTTTAACTGACGCGAAAGTGTTGGTGAGCAATTCCATGAAAAAGAATGACCTGGGATTTTTCCACGACTGCAAAACAAGTGTACAGTATTGCAAAAGTGGTGATCCTACTATATACAGAAATACAATACGTATATACATAAAATTTATGATTACAACGAACTGATCGGAAATTTGATCATAGCCTTAGCCTATGATTACAATTTGTCAATACAAGTACAAGTATTCACTTCGATTCTTGATTCTTTCATTGTCCTATTACCTACTTATCAGTTATCACATGTACAGGTATATTGCTCAGTTAGCTATTCCCAATTGCCTCTTCCTTTGATAGTTTACCATAATTTGTCATATAAATTGAATAATCAGATAGCAGGTACTGTAAATATTCAAAATGCATCCACTCTCTACACCCTCCTGCCTGTGCACTTTCAGTCCTTACAGTTATTGTACCTTAGATTATAACCACCAAGTCAGACCATACAACATCGAATACCATGAAATTTCCTGCATTAGAGACCAAAGGGAGTGTTGCATAAGCAGCCACTGCAATGGACAAGTTGACGGTTCTGGGCAAACACAAGAAATGCACTGCCACGTTCGTAGAGTGATACGGTATATATACAGTAATTTGTAATATAAGTTTAAAGTCCTGCTATAATAGTCGAGATAACTTTATTTCTCTGGAAACAGGACAGCCATTTTCAATGACGTCACAAGTTTCAAACTCACAGCTGCAGTTGTAGGTTGTAGAAAGGATGGCCTCTTCAGACCCCAAATGCCACGTTCAGGTAAGTTTTAAGGGTATTTTTTTTTTATGGTCTAAGTCATGGACATTTCATAAGTGAAGAAATGTGCCGTGAAGAGCAGCTCTAAACACAGGTTGGATCTTGGATGGATATAAATGGAAATGCCCAGTATGGCCCACTGCAGTGTCCTCCATTCTTATGTTCTTTTGGACATAAAAAACTCCCATGTTCATAACAGCTCAGCTGTCAAATTTAGAAGTACAGTAGACTCGCAATGTACGAGTATTTTTCTTTCGCGTGTATTAGCCCGTCTTAAAGGCAGAAGTATTTATATAAATGGGTTAATTACAATAGACTTGTATAACTATCACCTCCTGTAACTTTCCACTAGCTATGAGGTAGCATGTTCAAAGCACGTGATAAGTTATGCCCACGGGAAGTCGCATCACTTGGTGCCCAGTTAAACATCAAGTAACCGGCACTCTGGCCACCTATTGCAGGCAGTAGTTTGACAACCCTGACTAGAGGAAGACATTATTGAGAGCCATCGTGGATGGTTCTGTCTTCCCTCGAGGGAGGACGTCGGATATACAGTACTCCGTTCTCCCTCGACAGGTTCATATTCATTCTCACTCAGCACCTCAAATCAACAGGACATATTTAGCAGAGCTATTTAACATAGCCTCCATCTTCATTTAACACTCATAGCTACAGTGGTTAAATTACGGTGATAATCCTTTTTGAAAGCGTACATATTAACCTTTTATAATAAATACAAACAAAGGAACATACTGGATTTCACTACAGAAGATCCAATAAACTTTGATCTATATTTTAGTATATTTTAGTATGTCTAAAATATAAGGTAACGTGCTTCACAAGCGAATGTTACAAGTGGCGACAGCCCAGGAAGGTTGTTACATATACAGTGGTCCCTTGGTTAACGAGCACAATTCGTTCCAGAAGGTTGCTCGTTAACCGAAAAAAAATTTAACCGAAACCATTGTTTCAATGGGTTTTTGGAAAATTGGTTCCAGCTCACCGAAAATTACATACAAACTAAAAATAAATGCAGTAAAGTACACTTACTTTGAGGTGTGCATGTAGAAAGCTCCTGGTTGATGATGATGATGGGAGTTAAAATGAGGGTGGAGAAGGGAGAAGAGAAGGCATTGGGGTGGAAGAGAAGTCACCCCATGCTGCCATTTCACCCATAAAATTTTAGTTCACTTGGTGTAATTCAAGATTATTTTCTTTAAATCAACACCGCACTGCGCTATATATTATCAATATGTAAAATATATTTCTAAATGACCAATAATATGACTGGAAACACAGAAAAAAGTGTTTATGTTGAAGAGTCTCAAACAAGATTTTCCTTCCTCTGAACTGGTAAACAAACTGACGCCAAGCTTGGTGTGTAGAGTGGCTGTTTGGTGCGCAAAAAACTAGTTTCCTGTACTTTAATTATGTTCAATAATTGTTAAAATTACAAAAAAAATTAATATAAAACTTCTAAAATTATTGAATAGTACAACCGTCTTGATATTTACTAAAATGGTCAGGAATTTAAGCCCTAAAACCGATTACTGTATTGGCAAACTAATACTACAGCTGGTGGGCAGCCAAATGCAGGCGAAAACATGTTGGGAAAAATTCATAAGGAATTCGTTAACCGAAGTGAAGAATCTTATGGAAGGTAATTCGTTAACCAAGGCACTCGTTAACCGAGGGATCACTGTATATGGATTTATTTGTGATATACTGTATCAATATTAATTGAACTGTCAGGTAAGGAAAAACTAACTACTGTAGTTTATATTCACATACAGTACTCATAGAAAAAACAAAATTCTTTACTGTGAAGGAGTCGATGAATCTGTGAACTGCAGTTCCGATGACAAGACAAAGCGCGATTCTTTAGGAGAAAATTCTGCTCCTGTAGATGTCACAGCTGATACATCCTGAGAAAAAAAAAAGGATAATGTCTGATATTACACATTCTTTTTCTCTCTTTATAGAAACAGGATACCTATGTTTTTAAGAAAAAGATAATATAGAAGTTAACCAAGTGAAGCCAATGCAACATAGGATGACGAGAGTTATCTCTGAAATAAGTCATCTTGTTTATGCAAGAAGGATGAGGGTCTTTTGATTGACAACTTTTCAAAGAAGACACAACATGGTCAATGTCATAGACATTCAATCAATCAATCAATGCCTCTACTCTAAACATAAACATAAAAAACCTTAAAGCATAAATGAAGATGGCTACTGAAAGCAAATCAAACTACTTTCTAATTTCAAACTCTGTGATAAAAATTTGACAAAATTCTGAACACTAACCACTTTTTCTGCCAAACATATTTTTTTATGTATTGGTGTGCTTGTTACCAGGATGTCACCAGTTCTTGAAAGACTGTGACCACGACTATGATGAGAGGAATGGTGGTGATGTTTTGCATGATGATGGTGGTGGTGATGATGATGATGTCGATGTTTATGATGGCGAGAGGGGTGGGCTGGATCACTGGCTGGAAGAGGACTAATCCCACTAATTGCAGTCCAGTTGCTGGAGGTGCTGCCCATACTAGAGATGGTTTGATTGATTTCAACTTTTGCAGCCTTAACATTATCATCACACAATACAATGTCATTTCTTGTATTAGATGTAACTTCAGAAAGCAGCTTCTGAAAGAGACACACATAAGTTATATATCAATTACCTATAGTTTAAGAAAATTTAAAATGATCCTCTCATCCATTCCCAAAAAGGGGTTTAGACTAACAGTTTGGTTCTAGTTATTCACAAACATTCTCAAAGCCCATCTGCTGTCTTAGACATACAACATCACACTTCTTACACCAATGGCAAACAACTTCCCATTTACACAAAAGGAAGGTTGTCTCATTGTCAATAAAGGTAGCAACTCCCTAAACTACTACTAGCCAAGTCTGACTCTTGTAACTGAGCTACCTTTGGCACGACCTCTAGCTCTGATTGTATTTCACAGGTAACATAACTCATTGACACAATCCAAAGATATACAGTATACCCAAAGTCAAAATTTTTCAGCCACATATGAATACTTGCACATACAACAATTAATGTTAGCAAACTCTGCATTCATTACCACTCGCTGCACTTTATTGAATGCTGCCAGCAACATTCTTACAGATATTACAGTACTGGCCATTTTACACTTTCCACCACAGATCCTTCACCCATGCTACTAATCATTACTATTTTAGCCATTTTCACTCTCATATCCTTTGACACCATTCCACCCTTCCAATTTTTTTTTCAATTCCCAACTACCTCTTCAATACTATCAACTATTACTACCTGTACTACAGTACTACTTTCCTGTCACTCAGAATTGAGTATGACCATCATCCAGCTATGAAACAATGATATGAGTTGTTAAGGATGTCACCTTCATTGGTGAGCTCTGAGGTGACTAGAGAGGCCAATACGAGACCGGCAGGGTTGTTCACAGATGTTGCACATGTGGAGGGCTACATCTAGTGCGGGAGATGTGGTGGCAGCGTCTTTCCAGCATTGGCACTTGTCTGCCTCGGTTTGCAGTCGGGCTAACTAGAAAGTATTGACACCTTCTCGAGCGGTGCTCCTCCAAGCGTATGTGTGGAGTAATCATCTCCCAGGTGAGGGGGTCGATCTGGCACTTTTTCAGGTTTGTCTTAAGAATATCCTTATAGCTTTCCAGTTGCCTGCCAGCGTTACATTTACTATTTGTTAGGTGACTGTAAAGAAGCTGCTTTGGCAGTCTACTGTTGTCCATGCGGGTAACATGGCCAGTCCAACATAGTTGTTCATGGATAATGGCAGCCTCGATGCTCCTACAGTTGGTGTCAACAATAAGTTGACAGCATACAATTATTCCCAAAGCCAACCAATCCTAAAATCCCATGATAGGGCCTCTTAACACCATGAAAAACAGAAGGGGGATCAAGACAGTCTTTTGACAGACCCCTACTTTCACCTCAAGTTTCTTACATTCCTCTTGCAGATGTTCTCGACCCCTCAAACAATGCCATAACCACCTGAACAAGGCACTCCTCAACCCCTAACTTTATTGCCCCCACAGCACTACCTCATGTTAAATGCAATCTCTACCGTATATCTCGGCTTATAAGACGAAATTTGAACATTAAAAAAATCTGCCCAAAGTTAGGGGGTCGTCTAAACCACCAAGTTTAAAATTCTTACCTCTTAAATATTGTGGTTTAGTGTGTCAAGAGTGGTGATGAAAACATCATAAGCCACTCACAAGGTCTTACCACTAATTATTTTATACTGAAACTTATGTTTGGCAAGCTGGATTCAAATTAAGATTACCGGTATATTAAAATAATAAAAATGTATTATAAACCTGTCTAACATACCGTAAAAGAGATTTATACCCCTGTAATAAACACAGCTATCATCACACATCCCTCCCCACGCCCCCCCCATTTGCCAGTGAGGAGACAAGAAAGGGAAAGTGACCGCGAGATTTGGTTATTTTTAGCCGTGGAGGTGGTCAGTAATGCATACCGGTATCGGTATATTTACTCATAATAATATTTATCTCCTATAAATAATTGATTTAAATTTTATTTTTTTACAAAGAATATTCAGTAAATGAGTGCATTAATTCTTGAAACTATCGACGGTTAATTACAGACGCTCAAGTGACGTCACTAGTGTTTACACTACACCAGCTGGTAATAAATTAAAGAAAATAATTACAGTGTGTTTAATATATTACAGTATATTATAAATAAATAAATAAACAAATAATTCGGTAAATCTATTTCAAGTAAATGGAAAATAAGCAAACATGTTATTTACCAAGACGCGTCCCTCAGGGTGATATGGAGGGGAGATAACAAGGCTATTTATAGCCCGTCTGAAGTGGCCAGTACCCTAATGCACCATAAATAATTCATTGAACATTCATTTTTTGTACATAGTGTATATATATATATATATATATATATAATATATATATATATATATATATATATATATATATATATATATATATATATATATATATATATATATATATATATATATATGTGTGTGTGTGTGTAATAAATGTCTGTAGTAAGTACATACTGGTAACCTTTTTCACTCAAATCCTAATGAAACACCACAATTAGAATACGGTGGTTGCTGTTGAATCACATGTTGTATAAATAGTCGGAACACAGCCACACCACCGAGACGAGGGAACACTCCCACCACGCTTCAGTGACGTCACTAGTGTTTACACTCCACCAGCGGGTATAATTTGATGACATTACTTGAAGTGAATTGGCCTTATTTTAAAAAATCAAGGATGGTTGGTAAAGGACTACTGAGTCAGTGGGTAAGTGTCACATTTGGGGTACTGGTCTTATACAGCAAATAGAGCTCAAAAGCTACTTTTTAAATGGAAATTTGGGGGGGGGCGTCTTATGCACCCGCCGCCTTATAAACCGTAATATACGGTATATCTACAAATACAATGTACAGTTTTTCTCCTTCCCTAGATATTTATTATGTTGTTGCCTCTGTTATGGTTATTCGTCGGAGTGGTCTAAGTGTAGATTATATTATATAAAGATTATAATATATTGTGTTTCTTATATTTCTTACCGTAGAGTTTGATACCTTCACACTGGTTACTCACAGGAGATTATGGTGTATCTACATAGAAATTCAATTCACCACCCGACATTCCATGATTTATACTTGATAAATGAGTTCCATTAATTTCCAACATCCATCTAAGTTATTGGTTATACTTTGTCATAACCAATCAGTCATTACCTTTAGTAATAGTAAAATAGGATCACAGACATGGGCAGATAATTGCACTTACATTTATTTGTTTTGCTTCCATACAATGATTTACAATTTGCATGGATATATGAGTCACTCACGTTCATGCTGTAATAAAATTAATCTTCTAAAAAGAGAGAATTTTCAACTTGGGAACACATGTGATTACTCTACTATGAGTATGACTTAATAGAGCCTTAATTCTTCAAGTGATACATTTACTGCCAGCCTGCATTGCTTTTGTTGCAACCAGGCTTCCACACAAGAACTTCTTTCCACGGGGAATAACAACAAAAAAGTACTCTTGGGTTACCACACATAGTCTCGCATCACTGATAGTCACTGTAGACGGTTGTCGCAGCAAAGAGAACTGGTAAGCGTGACTTGTTTAACCACATAGGTGCAATAGACCAGCCTGGATTGCTTTTGTCGCAACCAGGCTTCCACACGTGATATTTCCACGGGGATAACGAACCTAGGTCAACACACTTAATCTCGTGTCGACGACAGTCCACAGGACTGAGTGGCAATGGAGGACTCTGTGTGGTGTCCAGCTCCCTTCAGGAGGGAGAAGGTGGACGACGTCTTAACTAACCCATGGCCTAGGGGATACTACTTAAAATGTGGTTTTTGGGGCGTGAGGCGATGAACAGAACAACACTGTCTCAATGGCCTCCCCCTATAGGCTGGCTAACATACCACTAATGGAAAATATATGTCACAGTCATGGCTCGCCGGGTGCCTTATCTCTAGTAAAACAAACTTTGGAGTTGGTTGCGTGGGTAAGCCTAACGCAACCCATGATACCCTCTGTCCAATAGTAAGCCAAACTGCATTATTTAATGTCTACTCTTTCCCTAACTAACTCTCTAGCTCCCTCTTTCCACTCTTGACACCTAATATTCCTTTTCCTGCTCCTTCAGCAATACTGTACAGTGAATATCACCCACACACACAATCTGTGCTGTATGACACATACCTCCCCTGCTACCACTTGTACATCCCTAACAAGTTTCCTGTCTGATTTCCTGACAGGTATGTAGTTGACGAGTTTTGTGCAACTTGACTCATATGTGATCAGCCTACTTGCCCTCTTCTTGAAAAACCTATTGCACATAACCATACTCAGTACATCCCAAAATTCAAGTATTTTGCCTTCAGTATTCCTTATTCTAAAGCCTTTCCCACCATGCACACACCTTCATAACATCATGTGTGATCAACAGGGACATTTACATTAGGTTAGTACAGTACTGTACTACAATTACCATTTCACCAAGCTCTGATACTACATGCAGTAACTCATCCTACAACTAATAATTCTCTTCCTCACTTAGACCAACCTGTGAGGCATTGCAGATACAAGTCACTAAATTCTTGTCCACCAGTGGCTTCAAAAACAAAATTCTTGCATCTACCCTTTTCACCTCTAGAATATTTACAGAAATGCTGAAAGCACCAGGTGATGTAGGCATATCATTGATGACCAAATTGACTAATGCTATCACAGAGTATATTATTTCCAGATGACTAGTGGACCTGAAGCTGCTAGGTCAGGTTATGAAGGTTGTAGAAAGAGTGATAAAAAAATTTATACAGGTGAGTAGGCATAAACGAAATGTAAGTTGAGTTGATACCAGGTAGGGGCACTACAGAGGCAATATCTATAGTCAGACAATTACAAGAGAACTATACTAGTACTGTATAAGGGAAGTTGGGAAAATTGTATTTCGTATCTGTAGACTTAGAGAAGACCTTTGACAGGTACTACATGAAGCAGTAATGTGTGCAAGGAGAAAGATAGGGGGCCGAGGAGTGTCTTGTTTGAGACATTTTGTACATGACGGCTCAAAAAGCATTTTGAGAGTAAATGGAGTGGAAAATGAGGAATTTGAGGTGAAAGTTGGGGTATATCAGGGGTCTTTCTTGAGCCACCTTCTGTTTATCATGGTGCTGGAGGCAATGTCATGGGACTTTAAGACTGGTCTACCCTGAGAGTTGTTACTTATTGATAGCAGATAGTATAAAAGAGGCAGTGGAGAAATTTAAGAGATGGAAGGATGGAATAGTCAAAGGGTCTTAGAGTGAATGTGGAGAGAACAAAAACTACAATGTACCTGTATTAATTAGTGGTGTGGGCGAGAGACCCAAGATGGAAAGTGAAAAAAGGCCATGTACTGTCTGAAGAAAGGTGTTGGCAGCAAATAAAAAAAAATCTCCAATCAGTGTGGAAGGTGGGTACACAAGAGGTACAGTGTAGTTGAAGGTAGACTGCAGGATGTTGCTAATGTCAAGTGTCCTGTATGTGTCCAAAGCAAGGCTGGAGAAATTTAACATTGGAAATATTTCCTTGGACTGTGCCAATGAGTTGTTACCCAGGTCACATGAACAGTGCTGGTGGGGGTACATAAGCCTGTTCAGTTGTAAGAGTTACAAGTTATTACAGGAAGTTTAGGGAGTTGCTGCCTTCACTGACAGCATGAGGACCTTCCCTCCATATGAAAGGAAGAATGTATGTGGCTGAGGTGAAAAATATGATGCAGTATGGAAGTGAAACATGGGCAGCCAAAGAGGATAACATAAGCAGGCTTGAATGAAATGAAATAAGAATAATGAGGTGGATGTGCAATGTGACACAAAGACAGGAGGCCCTGTTTACAGCTAAGAGGGTGACCGGGTATTGAGAGTATTGTTAAAATTCTAAAACAAGGCAGATTGAGATGGTCTGGGCATGTGGAGAATGGATGAAGCCAACTGGGTCAAAAGGTTCATGAACCTAGGTGTGAAGGGGAGTAGCGTTCGGGGCAGGCCAGGAATGAGATGGGGAGAAGTTGTAAGAAATAATATTACTGTAGTTAAGAAACTGACAAGAGACACTGCAACATGGAGAACTGCCATTAGGTAATTGCAGCTAGCACACACACACAAGTGGAAAATGGCTGCAAAATAATAATGATCTCTCGCATTCTCTCCATCCACTTTTCAACAATCAAGATCTCTACATCACTTCGTTCAGAATCATTACCCATCCATAAGAATTTGAACATGTCATTCTTCCCATTTATCAACCTTGCTGATCCTCCTTTCTCCCTAGCTTCTTGTACACAACAGGCATCCACCTTTTAATGTCTTGACAACCTCACATGATCTTTCTCATAAAGTACGATAACAACAGTCAGACTTCCAACTCAGAACCCACCTATGTCAGGTTGTTCCACCTTGCTTTCAAGCTATGTTTCATTACAATGTGCCATAATACAATTACAAACATATAATAATGTCTAAATGTGCCTGATTATCTAACAGTATTAACTTAAGTTATCATTCTTTGAAGCAATTAACATGAGAACCGAGAGCATTTGATGTTCCTATACAAGCCATGAGACAATAAGTGGGTGAGGGAGGTGTGAGTGGGAGCATCACATTTGTTTCATTATGGTCTCATAAGTCTCAACCCAATAAAATTGTGTAGTAAGGATGTTTTCCTCTACTTCTCAATTTTCTATGATCATCCCAGTCATCTCTCAAAAAGGGTCACTTTCTCTATTATGTATCTTGTAGTCAATGATGAAATGGTAACTTCATTTCTTTTTTATTATCTTCTGAGAAAAGAACTTACTTTCCATGACCACATCAGCAGGTAATCCCATTTTACACAAATATGATGTCAATAAAGATAGAACATTAATGTACTGTCAGACAAGTTGGGAAACTTTTTTTACCTAAGCCAAAACTTTAGAAAAATTCTGTATCAAATGCTGGTTGTAACAAACCATCACTTGATATGTCCATGAACTGTTCTTGTTAAAAAATCATTAAACCAAAGACAGTGTTAGCAGCAAAAAGATTTCTTATTCAAGTTTTGAGGCATCTACATTTTAAAATAAAATTAAAACTGCTTCTTTAAAGCAATTTTTGTATTAAATAATGTAGTTCATTGGTGGTTTCCATTACATTACTATGATGAAATCTGATGTACCGTATATGTAAGGAAACTGTCAAAAACTTTACTTCCTACATTACTCTTCCATGATTGTAGATTTCTTTAAACATAGTTACAGTGAACCCTCGAAGACCCAGACTAAAAGGGGGGCCCACCTGTCTGCAAAAGCTGATCGTCCAGATTTTCCGGCAAATAATAAATTATATAAGAAACACCAAAAATACAGGACTATTATAGTGATAAACAAATTACCGTATATAAACCATGAATTTACCTGTGATAACATAATAAGAAACATTGTATCATTACTAGAATGAATGAAATAATATTCCCACAAAATATTGTTAACTGTTTATGTTTCCCACCTCCTCGGGCACCTGTGTCCAAGCAACTGGCGGGTCAAGCAGCGCCCACGGGCCTAAAATGTTCTTTGCTCTGGTCTGGGAATGCTTCTTAGGGAAACTTCTAGGAGGCTTCTTAGCCCAGAACCCCCCAAAAAATTTTCCGGATCTTCCGAAATCCGGATTTCCCGGGTCCAGATCTTCGAGGGTTTACTGTACTTTGTAGTTCTGGGTCACACTATTGGTTTGTGGATCTTGAATTGACCTTCTGGTATTCAAACATTGTAGTTTAGTTTTTAAAAAATGTTTACCAAAGCATTTTTGGAGGGGGGGGGGGAGGATAATTCTGGAGCCAGTACATGCTCAGTACTTGCCAGCAGTGTTTAATAGACATGCCTGATCACCAAAGTGGCTAACAAACTGATCAGTAGCAAAAAGAATAAATTAAAGTAAATTCCCAAAAACTGGGGGATTACTATTTATCTTTATGGATAATAGGGGATTACAGACAATACTGTATGAGCATTCCCAAGGAACATCACCATCCATTGTCCCACAATCCTATATTGAACAATTAGAGGTCAAAAATAACTTTTCTTTCTGTTTCCTTATATCATATACTGTATTGTGGATGAACCTACATGGCAGGAGGGTGGATCTCTCTCCATCTCAAAGGTGCTCAGCAAGAGAAGTTCACCATCCGATGGTGGACTTTTAAAATTTTAATTGCAATAAAGGTACTTACCTGCTCATAATTTTAACAAATACAGGATTTTATATTACAGTATTTTAAGTTTGATATTTAAACTTAATAGGATTTTATGTTATTTATATCATAATTTTAAGGTAAAATTTCATTTTTGGTGTCAAATGGCCACAGGCTGCAATGACATATTTTAGTCAATCAATCAATTTTACCTTTTCTTATACTGATAAGAATGATGTTTGCATTTTAGGCCACCAATTACTTGCTCCTTTCTTTGCAGACATACAGAAGTTTGGGTTAAATAAGAGCAATAATTGAAAATAAAATGTTTTGAGGGAAGCGTGGTTTACTGGTAACATGAAAACAAAAGTGATGGTTCAGTAAACAATGAAGAGGGTGCCTGGGAATTTCCACCGGCTGAATACTTGTCCAGACCAGCGGTGGTGCAGAATCAGTGACTGTTAAGTAAGCGATGGTCAACCTGTACTTCAAGGCAGCATCCAAAATTGCAACAATAATTTACTTCCTGCTTTCTCAGACAGTCTCTAAGATGAAATATAGTTCCATGGACCCATAAAATTCCCACTCAACAGACAATAATGAACTTACATTATCAGCTGGTTCCTGAGTTTTCAAGAGAGCTGCAACTGGCACAGAAGTAGATTCAGATGGACCTGTGTTTACACCTGTGATTGCCTTTGCATTGCCTTCTTCTGTATCTGAATACAACTTTGTACTAAATTCAGAATTTGGGGCATTTTCAGGGTGGGATGCACATCCATCATCAGGTGACGACCTAATTTCAGTAGGGCCAGCAACTGTCACAGCAATTTCCGCATCACAAACCTCTGATGCACTTGATTCTATTGTCTGACTCATAAGCTGAAATTCCAAGAGTTCATTATCAGTCATAGTTCTTAGAGATAACTGTTCTTAACCCTTTCATCCTATGTATATACTTAATCGCATAATGCAGAGTAATTCCACAATTAAAGTTCAGGTGGTGTGGCATTGCATAAAACAATGTAAAGAAATTTGCAGTATAAATGGCATACTCTAAATTCTGAACTTGCTTTGATAAAATAATGGGGGACTGATCCTTAAAGCCCATTCTATGATGAGAACGGATATATTTTGTGACCCGTGGCACCTAAAGGTAATGTTGCAGAAGTAACTAATGAAACTGTCGCACCCAAAGGATTAATGTAATTATCCTAATCACCATGAATACACACACACACATCTTCAACTGGTGACTCCATCATCAAAATTTTAAAGATGAAAAGACCAAATATATACCATATATAACCTGGATATGCACTGGAACATCACCACCAATTACCAGAAGCTTTCCTCTGTATCTGTACTGCATTTTTCTACCTAAATAAGTTGTATCAATATCAATAACTTTTAACCCAGTATCATTTAACTATTCAACTTACAGTAGTTGTAACAGCTCTATCTTCAAACTTGACTAAATTACTAACCTTCACTTGAGACAGGTTAGGAGATGACAGGGGCGATCCAGATGAAAATGAAAATGCTGCTGCTGCACAATCACTACAGGGGGATGATGCTGATGAGTCAGAATGAGGGGAACCAATAAGAGGTGGTAACTCTCCTGCTTCTGGTGTGCACATGGGACCACTTTTTAAAGCATGCTGTTGTTCATCTGGAGTACAAGGAAAACCAGGTTTTTCTTCCCCTTGGAAATAAAGTGCTTTATCGTCCAAAAATTCTTTATTTTTCTTGCCAATATCAGCTGCCTCTGTGGATATGGTTGATTCACATGCTGAATGTCCACTCAAAATTGTCTGGAGATTTTTGTTTTTATCCTCATCGCCATCCTCACAGATCTCTTTATGATCTATGGATATAAACAAGTCAAATGAGGACAGAGTTCAATTTAAGAACAAACTGCAAAATAAATTCAGATGCTAAGAGAATGGTGAACACTGGCAATGAAGTGCAAAATCAACCCCCCCCCCTTTTCTAACCTTATTCTGTATGCTTCAGCCCAGTCAGAACATAGTGGGGCAAATGTTATCTCCTTCAAACTCTTCAATCACTGTACGTCTAAACACATTCAAAGGTCAAAGACTAAACAACAGATTTCAAAATACCTGTATCTAAATCATCATCATAATAATAATAATAATAATAATAATAATAATAATAAAATGCCTTTTAACTGATTATTTCTCAAGTGAATCAGGTAGCAAGTAATAATACTCCAGTGCATATAGAAAGGGGAACACTTAAGCACAAATTGTAAATGACACATACTGTACACAAGAAAGAACTCATAGGTATATACATTCTTCTTGATATATAAACTTTTCATATTCATTAGGAAATTCAACAAGGTACGACATACTTTTACTTTTATCCTCTTCACCATTGATCGGCTCATTAGCCGCTTGGGCAATCGGTCACGTCTCTGTTACGCACTGTTGGCAAGTACTGGGCATGCACCGGCTCCTGAATGTACCTGAACCTGCTCCAGTATTTGTTAAGTCTGGTATTGAAAGAGCTCACACTTAATGCCGTCACATCACTCTCTGGCAGATTGTTCCAAGAGTTCACAACTCTCACTACGAAAAATTTACCTCCTCACAGTTTTCTGGACCTGCAGCTTCTTCAACCTTAAGCTGTGACCCCTTGTGGGGCGAGTGTCTGCCAGTCCAGGCAAGGGCACTCAACTGAATAGTGCCCTTTGAGATACTTATACACCTCAAATAGGTCGCCCCTTGCCCGTCTGTAGTATAAGCTAGGCAATTTCAGGTGCTCTGATCTCTCATGGTAGCCGAGGTGCTGTAGTGCAGGCACCAGTCTGGTGGCCCTACTTTGGAAATTTTCAATCAACTGACAGTCCCTAGCATATCTCGGGGACCAGACGGGGTGACAGTACGCCAGATGAGGATGCACTTCTCTCTTGAAGATCGTTACGAGAGACGGACTGTCTAGATATCTGAACGACCTTCTTATAAGACCCTAGAGTGCTAAGAGAGTTGTGCAACGAATTTGCGGGATCTCTGATAATACTCTCAAGTACTTTACATATTATGCTGGTCGGGCTCAACGGTCTATAGTTGTTCGTAGGGTGACGATCGCCCTTCTTGAAGATAGGTCTCACATAAGCCACTTTCCAATCACTGGGGACCTTTTGCTCATCCAGGCATTTACAGAACAGGATCATCAGGGGCTCAGCAAGTGCGTTGTATAACTGTCTTAGCACTCTGGGATGCACCATGTCAGGACCGGGACTCTTATTGAACTCAGAGAGGGGAGGGGGTAGATCACGGGTGTCAAATTCATGGCCCCGGGCCAAATGTGGCCTTTGGGATGGTCAGGTGTGGCCCACTAGGAGTGTAAAATTCATCAGCCCGTAAAATTATGATAGATATAGATATGAAGGAAAAATGCAGATATGAATGAGTCAGTAAATTCCAAAATGATCTTTACATCATTGTGGCAATAATTGAATTTATATTGTTAATGCTAGTAATAACATTGTAAAGGGTAAATGCTTATAAATCGAAATCACTAAAGAATTAAAAAATGAAGCCGTAGCCATTACTGGCATCTGAACAGAGGCAGCAGCCAAACGTTGCAACACTAGGCTAAACAGACGAGGAGAACTGGTGTATGCTGTTGGACCCTCTCCATTTCTTTGGAGAAATCGTGAGTTATACTTCGCTTTTTAATCCCTCAATTATCTATAGCTATTACTAACTATATGTAGAATTGATGTGAAGTTAATCCTATGAAATCAAAAGAATATGTAAGATCTGTAGGGAAACTTTGTACACATGACGGTCGCATCAAACCAGCTAACCACTGCCTTGCACTAGGCTTCGCCGAGCCAGGTAAGGCAATGCGTGAAGGTGTAAACTTCAAACCTGCAAATATGTGATATATCACTTGTGTTGGCCCTGAAGAGGGGTAACTAAAATGAGAATTGACCCTCACAAGGTTTTGAGTTTGACACCACTGGGGTAGATTAACAAAGAAACAAGAAAAAGCAGGTTGACAGGAAGAGTGGGAGGAAATTGTAGGGATGTAGAAGTCAAAGGGAGGAGAGAGGAAGAAGAAGGGTTGAAGAGAAGGAGGTATTAAAAGGAAGGAAAATGTAGAACGGATGAGGAAGAGGTAGGAGGAAGTGTTGCTGCCAGCTAAAAAAAAAAATCATGTTTTATACATTACCAGATAAACTAGGAAAAGGAAAAACTACCTGTAAGGCAAGATGATGCTGAGGGAGCCGAGAGACTGATTTCCTGGGAAAATAGGTGCCTGCATGATGATCTCTCAGCTGATGGAGTAACGGAAACCCTTCGGCTTTTAGCAGGAGGTCTGTGTAAGTAAGAGGTACAGTATCAGTAACTGAATTGCATCCTGGGATGAACTAATCATATCCTGGGAGGGCAACTGAAGAGTATCACCTACTTTTTAAAAACTAAATTCACTTTAAAATTACTTCAAGCCTTAGCTGAACTAAAACATACAATCATCGGGTGCTGGACTTTCACTTCACAGTGACATACGTTAACCAAAGTAATGGAAGTCTGGACTAGTTCATATTTTTCCTTAACAAAATCTTCATTTACTGTACAGTATATAATACTACACAACTCATCAATTTATCCTCAATTAAGTTTAAAATAAAATTTCTTCACTAAGAATCAATGTGTAGTTGTCCAGTTTATTTAAAGATTTACAAGATATACAACACTATATCATAGTTCCTTGAATCACATCCTCCTCAAACCCTCTTTGGACTTTCTACCCAAGTATTTTGTGAAAACTCTGTTTAGCTCTAGTAGATTATTCTTCCAATGAAACTACAGTACATACAGTATGTACCTAAATATAAGGAAGACTTTCTGCAGAAGCCCCTGCAATATCTTCTATTGGTACATGCAGTATTGCACAGTTCATATTGATCTGACAAGTTGAGGATGGCAGGAGAGAGGGGAAGAGCAAGAAGGTGGAAGGGTAAAGTGAAGAATACACTAAAAGTCATGAGGCCTGAACATCTAAGAAACAGCAGTGTGCAACAATTTCAAATGTTTTTAGGAGATGCTTGGAATACTAAAGGATGATGGCAAGTTGTGTAATGACAGATAAAACAGAAGGATATCTTGAGGCCTAAATGCAGAAGGTTAACATCACAGCACAATACATTTATTATAGTAATAAGAATGATTTGCTGACTAAATAAGGGTCATGTTTTATGTTTTTGCTCTTGATTTTACTCACCCAACACTACAGCAGGCTAAGGCTAAAAAGAGTGGGGGATTTTATCAGTAATTTCTTCCAGCATTCTTAATCATGCAACTACACCTACTTTACACAGTATAGATAGTTATATATCATCAGTTAAGAAAGTTATCCCCAAGGCTTCAATTCACTTCACTTGACGTGCGCTTACAGGGCTTCAGTTCACGTCATATTATGTATTGTAATTTTGCAGTACTTATTGAATTGTCAGGTGGGCCTGGCTAGATTATGGTGCCAAGTATTGACATTGAAACAATTTATTTAGCCAGAAAAATACAAACACAGAGTGGAAATAAGAACAACATTGACATGGCTGAGCCAAGTACGAGCCTGAATCCTCTTAGCTGCACCTGTTTAACACTGTACATCTAACTTAATGAGTTATTGCACAACATTTAGTATCAAATGGACTAGTATATGTAACATGGTGTTAGTAAATACATATTGGAACATTACCACAATTATCACTACAGTGTTTGTAATTTGTATCTATTTCTATTATATTTTTTTCACTTATATTATAAACATACAGTACCTGTATACACATTTTTACAGCAGAATATAGTTGATATATAGTAATGTGAAAAACGAGGGGAAGCTATAGAACATGCGCTGTGGGACAGACACAGTCAAGATCATATTGTGATGGCAAAATACATAATCACTGCAATAGTAATTTCTATCAATGACAATATATGATATAATGGTACAGTAAAAATTTAAAAGTAAGGGTTGCAAAAAATCTTAATACTTTGACAATAGATATCTTTTAAGAGATAATTTAATGGAAGGGAGTGTAGTCTTTGCTTGGATGGGTGGGGCTATGTTGTTCCACACCTTTGCACCCTGATACTTATAGAGGTCTGGGATTAATAGGAGCACATGGGGATTGTCTTAGTAGGTCCGGGTGTCTAAGTTAGATCTCTGGTTATTCCGAAAATGGAAATAATTCTCAATTAAGTGATTAACGATTTATAAACAAATGGAGAACAGCAGTAAGTATTAATTTCCTAAAATTTTACCATTTTCAATTTAGCAAACTGTTCATTTGTGTGATCAGAGTTTTTCAAACAGGTCAATGTCCACACAACTCTCTTCTGGTCAGTAACCTGGGGTCCTTCACTCATTCACCTATACGAACCTCCCAGTCTCTCTTCTCAGTAGCTTCTCAGCTTTTTTGAGGGTAGGGATATCGCCCTTTGTCTTCATTTGCTTCATCACGTGCGTCTACCCTCCAACCCCCAAGCACAAGTGTAGAACGGACCTTGACCATCAGCAGATTCGTGATCAATTATTGTACTGTACTCGAGGCAGTAATAATTATTGTAAATAGTAATAACATGATAAAACATGTGTCTTATCCCTCTTACTGCCTACAGTCATTGCCGTGTACCTCGAATTGCCAACTTCACCCCACTGAGTCACATCCATGCCATGTCACGTGCATTCAGAACTCTTCTTAGCCCCAGTGATGGAAGTACAATTATTCCTTTACTGTTTATATCATACACTCATAGGGGGAAGGGGTATGCCAACCATCGCCTTGTACCTGAGGTTAATGACCATGGCATACATACCTTGGGCAGTCTAACAGATAATTGAGGCTCTGGTGAGGAGTTGACAGATCTATCTTCTCATTGCTCACTGTTAAGAAAAATTTAGCAAAATATTATCTATCTTTTCCAGCAGTAAAATTGGAGATATAATACAGGACAAATGATGGGATAAAGAGAGGAAAGAGAGAGAGAGAGAGTGTGTGTGTGTGTGTGTGTGTGTGTGTGTGTGTGTGTGTGTGTGTGTGTGTGTGTGTGTGTGTGTTTACTCTTTTTCCAATTATCCAGCACAAGTATTAATGAGGAAAAGATTTGGAACAATGTAAATTTCTATATACCTGTGTCAGTTCCTTCATTAACCCCATCGCTCAGAGGGGCTGATATGGTCACCAAACACTCTATCATAGGGGGTGTGTGTGTGTGCGGGCGAGGGGAGGGTGGTGTATGTGTGAGGTAGGTTTAGTTATTAGTTTAACAAATTTATTGACAAAGCATGGAGTACAGTTTGCCTATTCTGAGTAATTCAGTCAGGTCTTGACACTAAGGGTAAAACCTCAATTAACCACCGATCCCAGACCCCTAAAATATTTTTTTTTATTTATTTAATTATTTTTTTTTTAACGAGGATTAGCCCACACGGGCACAGGTCACTGTCCCACATCGGGAGTAGGGGGCGAAAATGTGATGGTGATGGTGATGATGATGATGATGATGATGATGATGATGATGATGATGATAAATAATACTGTAATAATATAATAATAATAATAATAATAATAATAATAATAATAATAATAATAATAATAATAATAATAATAATAAAGAAATGCAAAAAAAATATAAAAATAAAAAGTGAGAAACAACATATGTATGTTATGTTGTCAATAGTAAGAGAAACAATTGAGACCCTGCAATTGTGTGTAAATGAGGCAGAAAGTCAGATCAGCAAACTGGGACTTGGTCACAATTTTCGTGATGCCAAATGTTCTTTGACTTTTCCATTTTTTATTCACGGTTTCTGTGCTGGTTCATATTTATTTACGAAAGTGGTTAATGTTTTAAAGCAAATGCTATTGAAATATGAATGGCAAATGAACAAAAATGAATAGAGGGACTTAAATAAGGTAGGTTAGGGATAGGTACTTTAAAAATGTATGTTCTATTTCCGTAGACTTTATTTACTATTAACCGACCTTTTGTATTATCCGTCGGCCACTTCCCCCCATATGTGGGCGGTTAATCAAGGTTTTACTTATATAGGTCAGATTCATGTTGGTTGATGTCGCTGTTCACTACCATGCAGGACAGAGGTTCATACACAAAGAAATACATCATATTCATAAGCGGTATATATAGGTCAGAGTCATGTGGGTGATGTCGCTGTTCACTGCCATGCAGGACAGTGGTTCATATATATTGGAAGTCATTTTCTAATTGAAGACCAATCAGTGTGGGCTAGCAGCAAATTTTGGATAAACAGTAAGAATGTCCTCAAGCACCCCCGATTCAATGTATTAATTACAAAGTTCATGATACAATAAGCCAGGTGGCCTGAAGTCTTTGACAGTGTCACATTCAATAATATAGTGTTCAAGTGTATGCTTTAAAGGTTTATCACAAAGTTTACATGCTGTGTAGGATGTGTATGTGAGGGAGTGGGGTGTGTATGTGAGGTAGGGTGGTGTGTATGTGAGGTAGTGGTGGTGTGTGTGAGGTAGGGTGGTGTGTGTGGTGGGGGTGTGTGAGGTAGGGGGGTGTGTGTAGGGGTGTGTGAGGAGGGGTGTGTGAGGGAGGGTGTGTGAGGGAGGGTGTGTGTAGGGTGTGTGTGAGGGGTGTGTGTATGTGAGGTAGGGTGGTGTGTATGTGAGGTAGGGGGGTGTGTGAGGGAGGGGGTGTGTGAGGTAGGGGTGTGTGTGAGGGAGGGTGTGAGTTAGGGGTGTGAGGTAGGGGGTGTGTGAGGAGGGGGTGTGAGGGAGGGTGTGAGGGAGGGGGTGTGAGGTAGGGGTGTGAGGTAGGGGGGTGTGAGGTAGGGGGGTGTGAGGGAGGATGTGAGGGAGGGTGTGAGGGAGGGTGTGTGAGGGAGGGGGATGTGGAGGAGGGATGTGAGTGAGGGAGGGGGTGTGAGGGAGAGGGGTGTGAGGGAGGGAGGGGGGGTGTGAGGGAGGAGGGGTGTGAGGGAGGGGTGTGTGAGGAGGGTGTGTGAGGAGGGGTGTGAGGAGGGGGGGAGGAGGGAGGGTGTGAGGGAGGGGTGTGGAGGGGTGTGAGAGGGGTGTGTGAGGAGGGGGGTGGAGGGAGGTGTATGTGAGGAAGGGGGTGTGTGTGTGTGTGTGAAAAGGAGATGGTGGAGATAAGGGAGGGAGGGAGATGTGTAAGGGAGGTGGTGGTGACCAGTCTCTTATCAAACAGACACACCAGGTACATCTCTCTGACTCAAAGGGTTAATAAGACTGCTGAAAGAACCCCTTTTTGTTAACTAGATGGCTGGGACATGAAGATTACATCAGGAAGGGCTAGGTAATGTTTCATACAATCTGTCTAACTTCAACTGCGCAAGACAAAACAACCACACCCCAGAGCACCAAAACAACAACAACAGCCACCCCAGAGCACCAAGACAAAACAACCCACCACCCCAGGCACCCAAGACACAACAACCTGCCCCAGAGCACCAAGACAAAACAACCACCACCCCAGGCACCAAGACACAGCAACAACCACCCCAGAGCACCAGGAGCCACAACCACCACCCCAGGCACCAAGACAAAACAAAACACCACCCCCAGAGCACCAAGACAAAACAACCACCACCCCAGAGCACCTGCGAGACAAAACAACCACCACCCCAGGCACCAGAGACCATTAACCACCACTGAAGCACCAAGACAAAACAACCACCACCCCAGAGCACCAAGACACAACCACCACCCCAGAGCACCAAGACAAACACCACCCCAGAGCACCAAGACAAAACAACCACCACCCCAGGCACAAGACAAAACAGCCACCACCCCAGAGCGCACCAAGACAAACAACCACCACCCCAGAGCACCAAGACAAAACAACCACCACCCCAGAGCACCAAGACACAACAACCACCACCCCCCAGAGCACAAAGACACAACAACCACCACCCCAGAGCACACCAAGACACAACAACAACCACCACCCCAGAGCACCAAGACACAGCAACAACCACCACCCCCAGAGCACCAAGACAAAACAACCACCACCCCAGAGCACCAAGACAAAACAACCACCACCCCAGAGCACCAAGACACAACAACCACCACCCCAGAGCACAAAGACACAGCAACCACCACCCCAGAGCACCAAGACACAGCAGCCACCACCACCCCAGGCACCAAGACACAACAACAACCACCACCCCAGGCACCAAGACACATGGCACACCCAGAGCACCAAGACACAGCAACAACCACCCCCAGAGCGCAGGAAGCTTACAACAACAACAACCACCCCAGGCACCAAGTTACAGCAACCACCACCACCCCAGGCACCAAGACACAACAGCAACAACCACCCCCAGAGCACCAAGACAAAACAGCAACCACCCCAGAGCACCAAGACACAACAGCCACCACCCCAGGCACCAAAGACACAACAACCACCACCCCAAGGTACCAAGACACAACAGCCACCACCACCCCAGAGCACCCAAGACCACCCAACAACAACCACCACCCCAGGCACGAGACACAGCAACAACCACCCCAGGCAGCACCAAGACAAAGCAAGCAGCTACCCCAGAGCACCCAAGACACAGCAACCACCCCCCAGAGCACAAGACACAACAACAGCCACTTTAGAGCACCAAGACAAACAGCAACCACCCCAGAGCACCAAGACAGCAACCACCACCCCAGAGCACCAAGACACAACAACAACCACCCCAGGCACCAAGACACAACAACCACCACCCAGAGTACCAAGACACAACAACCACCACCACCCCAGAGCACCAGACACAACAACCTTACACCACCCCCCAGAGGCACAAAGACACAACAACAACCACCCCCAGAGCACCAAGACAAAACAACAACCACCCCAGAGCACCAAGACACAACAACCACCCCCAGGCACAAAGAGACACAAGCAACAACCACCCCAGAGCACCAAGACAAAACAACCACCACCCAGGTGCCAAGACACAACAACCACCACCCCAGAGCACCAAGACAAAACAACCACCACCCCAGAGCACCAAGACACACCCAACAAGCCACCACCCCCAGGCACCCAAGACACAACAACAACCACACACAGAGCACCAAGATTAAAGCAGCCACCACTTAGGCACCCAAGACACAGCAACCACCACCCCAGAGTACCAAGACACAACAACAACCACCCAGAGCACCAAGACAAAACAACCACCACCCCAGAGCACCAAGACAAAACAACAACCACCCCGAGCACCAAGACAAAACAACCACCACCCCAGAGCACCAAGACACAACAACCAACCACCCAGGTACCAAGACACAACAGCAGCAACCACCCCAGAGCACCAAGACACAACAACAACCACCACCCCAGAGCACCAAGACAAAACAACAACCACCCCAGAGCACCCAAGACACAGCAACAGCCACCCACCCAGAGCACCAAGACACAGCAGCAACCACCACCCCAGCGCAAGACACAGCAACCACCACCCCAGAGCACCAAGACACAACAACCCACCACCCCAGGTACCAAGACACAACAACCACCACCCCAGAGCACCCAAGACACAGCAACCACCACCCCAGAGCACCAAGACACAACAACCACCACCCCAGAGCACGCAAGACAAAACAGCCACCACCCCAGAGCACCAAGACACAACAACCACCCCCAGAGCACCAAGACACACACAACAACAACCACCCCAGGCACCAAGACACAGCAACCCACCACCCCAGAGCACCAAGACGCAACAACAACCACCCCAGGCACCAAGACACAGCAACCACCGCGGGCACCCAAGACGCAGCAACCCACCACCCCAGAGCACCAAGACACAACAACCACCACCCCAGAGCACAAGACACAGCAACCACCACCACCCCAGGTACTTAGAGACACAGCAACCACCACCCCAGAGCGCAAGACACAACAACAACCACCCCAGAGCACCAAGACAAAGCAACCACCACCCCAGAGCACCAAGACACAGCAACAACCACCCCAGGCACCAAGACACAACCACCACCCGCCCCAGGTACCCGAGACACAGCAACCACCACCCCAGGCACCAGAGACACAACAACAACCACCCAGAGCGCAAGACAAGAAACTAGCCGCACACCCAGAGCGCAAGGGCACAGCAACAACCACCCCCAGAGCACCAAGACAAAACAACCGCACCACCCCCAGAGCACCCGAGACACACACAGCAACAGCCACCCCAGAGCACCCAAGACACAGCAACAACCACCCCAGGCACCAAGACAAAACAACCACCACCCCAGAGCACCCAAGATTTACAACAACAACCCCACCCCCAGGCACCAGAGACAAAACAACCACCACCACCCCAGGCACCAAGACACAACAACAACCACCCCCAGGCACCAAGACGCAACAACAACCACCCCAGGCACCAGAGACAAAACAACAACCACCCCAGAGCACCAAGACACAGCCAACCACCCCAGAGCACCAAGACAAAACAACCACCACCCCGAGGCACCAAGACACAACAACAACCACCCCCAGAGCACCAGACAAAACAACCACCACCACCCCAGAGCACCAAGACAAAGCAACCACCACCCACAGAGCACCAAGACACAACAACAACCACCCCAGAGCACCAAGACAAAACAACAACCACCCCCAGAGCACCAAGACCAACAACCACCACCCCAGAGCACCAAGACACAACAACCACCACCCCAGGCACCCAGACACAACAACAACCACCCCAGAGCACTAGAGATTTAAACACAACCACCACCCCAGGTACCAAGACACAGCAACCACCCCAGAGTACCAAGACACAACAACCACCACCCCAGAGCACCAAGACAAAGAGCAACAACCACCCCAGGCACCCAAGAGACACGAAAGCAACAACCACCCCAGGCACCCAAGAGACAAAACAGCCACTTACCCCAGGCACCCAGGGCAGAAGCCACCACACCCCAGGTACCAAGACAAAACAACAACCACCCCGAGGCCTGCGGGAGACGAAACAGCCACCCACACCACCCCAGGCACCAAGACAAAGAGCAGCCACCCCAGAGCACCAAGGCCGCAACCACCACCACACAGGTACCAAGACAAGGAAACAACAACCACCCCAGAGCACCAAGACAAAACAACCACCACCACCCCAGGCACCCAAGACACAACAACAGCCCACCCCCCAGAGCACCAAGACACAACAGCAACCACCCCAGGCACCAAGACAAAGAGCAACAGCCACCCAGGCACCAAGACACAACAGCAACCACCCCAGCGAGGCACCAAGACAAAACAACCACCACCACCCCAGAGCACCAAGACACAAGCAGCAACCACCCCAGAGCACCAAGACAAAACAACCACCACCACCCAGGCACCAAGACAAAGCAACCACCACCCCAGAGCCGCAAGACACAACAACAACCACCCCAGAGCACCAAGACACAACAACAAGCACCCCAGAGCACCAGACAAACAACAGCCACCCCAGAGCACCAAGACACAGCAACAACCGCCCCGAGAGCACCAAGAGACACAACAACAACCACCCAGAGCACCAAGACAAAACAACAGCCACCCCAGGCATAAACAAGAAACAGCCACCCACCCCCAGGCACCCAAGACACAACCCAGCCACCACCCCAGAGCACCAAGACACAGCAACAGCTACCCCAGGCACCCAGACACAGCAACCACCCACCCCAGGTACCAAGACACAGCAACCACCACCCCAGGTACCAGGGCAGCAGCCACCCACCCCGGGAGCACCAAGACACAACAACCACCCCGAGCAAGACACAGCAACAGCCACCCCAGAGCACCCAAGACACAACAACAACCACCCCAGAGCACCAAGACACAGCAACAACCACCCGAGCACCAAGACACAACAACCACCACCCAGAGCACCAAGACAAAACAACACCACCCCAGGCACCCAAGACACAGCAACCACCACCCAGGCACTAGAGACACAACAACAACCACCCAGGCACCCAAGAGACACAGCAAGCCACCACCCCAGGCACCAAGACACAGCAACCCACCACCCCAGAGCGCAAGACACAACAACCACCGCCCAGAGGCACCAAGGACACAAGCAAGCCGCACCCCAGAGCACCAAGACAAAACAACCACCACCCCAGAGCACCAAGACACAACAACAACCACCCCAGAGCACCAAGACAAAACAACCACCACCCCAGAGCACCAAGACAAAACAACCACCACCCCAGAGCACCAAGACAAAACAACCACCACCCCAGAGCACCAAGACAAAACAACCACCACCCCAGAGCACCAAGACAAAACAACCACCACCACTTATGTGCACCAAGGCAAAAAAATTTCACCTTCAATCAATACTGTTTTACTCATGTGAACTACAGTACATATTTTCTGTGGTGTTGTAATGTTGCAATATATTCTAGTTTCAGGAAGTGATTGAGAATGAACAAAGTACTTCCCTTTAACACACAGTTGAGAGAAAGGTGACAAGAGGACCTGATGAGAGCTCTCTGTATTACTTCAATGGTTATCTTTAGGTGAATCAATGACCTAATGTGTTCCTAGAATACTCTTAAAAACTTAATTAATATACAGTATATTAGAAATAATAACATTTAGTAGTATAGAAGCTAGTTCACGATGATCTATTGTTTTTATGCAACAAAAAGGGCAAACAAGAGATTAACTGACCTTCAGACTTAGGGATCTTCATCTCGGTTCTTTGATTGTCTGACACGGACAGTACTGGAGTAAGTGTAAACCCTAGAGAAAAAAATATTAGTCCCATCACTCTTTGTTACTGTTGAGGATAAAATTCTCATTCACAAAGTCAGTTGTGTCCAAGACCGTGAGTTACATTTAATAGTACAAGATTAACCCTTGACAGACCAACCACCCAAATGGCTAGTAAGCTGCTAAGTGGTGAAATAATAAACAAGACCAGTAGTGTACATTATTAACTATATTATTAAAGTATTTTACCTCTAATTCAATATATTTTTTTATTCTCTTTTAATTAAAAGTTTATGTATACCTTATGCACACTTGATCCAACTGTGCCCTTCCCCTCCCCTAGACAACCCTATCTGGGTCTGGCCCTACTAGTACAGTACAGTATACAGTAAAAACGAGTGATAACTTACAACAATACCTGTAAACCTAACTTACCTTACTGGTTGAACTGAATCATTGTTGTTAAACACTAATACCATATACAAAAATAATTGAAAAAACACAGCTGTAGTATTTTGTACACTTGCTCTAAAAATTATCTTTACAATTTTGTCTGAGACATTATGACGCAACAAAGGATTTTGACAACCCAATTGAGACAACAGGAGTCGCAGTGTTCATTTTGAAATTCATCAGATACTTTTTGGAGTGAGTGTACATCACTTTGTTGACAGTGGTGAAAGCTCCATATAAAGAACCATGATCTAATGGTTATAGTCCAGTAGCTGAAGATTTCACATCTAACGGAACTTTGATCTAAAGGACTTCCTTCTCAATAAAGTCCATTGAATAGAGGTTTCACATCTAATGGAACCTCTATCTAATGGACTTCCCCTCCATATAGTCCGGTAAATAAAGGTTCCACTGTATGACGATTTTTTTATGTCAGCAATTCATGGACAGCAAGTACTGTAGTCATCTTTAGATATGACTAGCACTTGACAAATATAGTAAAACCTCGATATATGCGAGAGATACGTTCCTGAAAACCCTCAAATAAACCAAATCGTATACCTGTACAATATATTGAATGCAGTCCTTAGTTCAAAGGGTAAAAATAGGATGCATTCCATAACCCAAAATTAAAATGTTACAGACACATTTTCAACACAATTTCAAGACAAATAAACCATAAAACAAATCAATAAAATATTATTTTTCAAATAATAGATAAAATAAAGGTACAGTACTTATCAGTACTGTAGACAAGTTGATGGAGGTGGTGGTAGAGGTTTTACATAGTGGGTGATGTTGTTAGAGTGACATCTGCAGAGTCATCTGGATTAAATCCATATCAGGGAGTGTGACATCTCACATAAGGCTGAATTTTGTTCGCATTAATTGAATTCCTGGTAGGAATAGGGTCTTCGAATACGAGTGAATTTGCTTATGCTGAGCTCGCATATATCGAGGGACCACTGTTTATGTACAGTCACCCACAAAAGTTCTGTCGCTTCTCCTCCTGAACCACAAACCCCGACATTCAGACTCATGAAGCCAAAGTATTTATGGACAGAATAATGTATCAGTGTCTACTGCTTCAGGTTCACGAGTCTGAGTTTCGGGGTTCGTGAACAGCTGGAGAGAAGACAGGACTTTTGTGGGTGACTACTTTCTATAAAGCCACCCTAGCCATAATAAGTACTTGTCATAACAAAGTGAATCAGACATGTCCAGAAGTTAAATACAGTATAGGAACATTCTTAAATATCAAATATAAACAAAAACCTGTGAAACCAACCAACCTACACCTCAAATCATGAGTTATACAAGCTGTAAATAAAACCAAATCATTTATAAAAATCAAAATATTTAATGTCATACCAATTCCATCCAGAAAAAAAGAATGTGTAACCTTCAAAATTTTAAAAACAACTGCATTTTCTTCCTTTCCTGTATCCAAACCCAAAAGCAAGACTAAGAGTAATTTAGGAATTACAGTCCAGGTATACCTTGCTATACATTGGACATGCATTTTTGAATAAGGCAACATTAAGTGAAACAATGTATACAGTGAATACAAGTTTACCATAGATCTAATGATATAAATAGGGGTTACATTCCTAGGGGACATTAAAACCTAATTTAGGTTATTAGTAGTTAAAAGAATCATTTAAGTATAAAATTTATGTCAATAAACATTTACCCCCAAGTTGGTTAAGGAAACTGTACAAGTGGCCGGCTGGGGTAGGAAGTGGTAAAGTTATTAAGATGATGCAGGATTGCCTACCTCTTCATCTAAGGATGGATGTATAAATTATTGGTCCATAGACAACTGAATGCCATTCTTCTTAATCTAGTTTGTACAGCTGCTTGTGATAATTTGTCATTGGTTATTAATTGCTTAACTACAAAGCTGCATTCTTTGTTTGGATCACACTTGTTTAAGATGGTGAAAAGGTCAAGCATTCTGGTGATGTCGCCTTTTTGTTCGTCATCTTCAAAACACCTAATTTAACTTCTAGATTAATACTTTTCCTTGATTTTCTCTTACAAGAGGCACAAATATCACTTGCTAGGTATTTTCCACTCATTTTTCAGGAATTGGTGAGGTAAATCATTATACCTAAATAGATGAGATCAAGCAAATGTGGGGTGATGTGTAACTGACGCTGGGGAGGGGATGAGGCAGAGGAGTTTGGCGATTGATTGGTATTCTAAAATTAACCAAAGTAGTCTACCACCTTCATATGCCTTATTTTTTTTTGGGGGGGGGGGTTATTATTTCTCTAATTCATCAACAATGTATAATAAAAAATCGAAACAACAAATAGCAAGACAACATAGTGAGGTACAGTATAACTACTTCGGATGGATTCACTTGTTACATCAAAGATAAAGCAACTTTTGCTTGAAACACATAAGAAATTAAATCACTCACTTCCTGGAGGTTTTTTGCGGAAAAGGATTGGCGAGAAAAGATCCTGTTGAGAGTCATGTGGTGCTTCACGAAGCTCTTCCCAGTCTTCCTGCAAATACAGGTATTACAATGGTTAAGAATGAGCTGCATACTGCTTTCTTTTCTTTAATAATTTCTTATTTGATGAAGGTTGGCAAGAAACAAGAGTAAACATGCACAAACATTCATTTTCCCTTCATTTAGTGTCATTCACATTTTTTAACTATTTCAAGTCTGACAAACATAATGTATCTCACACACTTCAGATCAGTCCTACCAACTTATGATATATGTTTTGATTTCTCCTGCCTAGTTTCTATATCCTGGAGCAGCTTTAAGTCATTTAATTATGCCATATGTAATAATTTGCCATCAAATATTGCACAACTGCTCAGTTACCCAACAAACACTATGGTGGAAGAATGTTTATTGGAATGAGCATCTGGCAGCTGAGAGTGATACCCATAGATCTGGTAGATGTAAACATAACTGTGCAACCAACCATCCAAGTAACTAACATGCAAATCAGTAAAGAGGATAATGCATAAATCATATGACTAGGGAGTTATTCTTATTTTAATAACAATCATTACGTCTATCTTTACACCACTAACAACTAGGCCCACATTGTTTCCACTTTCTTCCTAATCTGTTGACCAGTTTTTGTAATAGTTCCCTATATCACTACAGGCAGTCCCCAGGTTATGAACGAGTTCTATTCCTGGCGAACGTTCTTAAATAAAAAATGTATGCAAGTCTAAACACATGCTATGTGTATACTGTACTTGCAGAACAATGTCTAAAATCCCACTACTGTATATCATAGCCTAAGTCCTTATATACATCTAAGATTACTTGATTTAAGAGAAAGCAAGAAATAGAATCACAAAATACAGTAAATTAAAGTAAAAAATAAGTCATCAGGCAAATAAAATACTGCAAATTTAAAGTTTAACCTCGTTCGTATCAGCGGATGTTTGCGAGTCAGACGTTCGTAGCCCGGGGACTGCCTGTACTTGGAACTTGTCCCATTGAAAATTTTGAACGGGTGTAATGAAATAAAATCGCTCTTTCTCAAATTTGAAAAGGTAAGTTAATTAAATAAAAAGGCTATACCAAACAGCCTGGCCATGCTTATACTCACACATCTATTGTATATCCAAATTTTCAGTCTCCAATCCAACATGACCAATAGATTATAATTGCTGCAAAAATTTGAGTGCATCGAATCACACATCAATATCGAATGCAATTCTCTAACACTCGACTCCCAATAATTTCAAATATTCTCAAAGTGTAAATTTTTACTTTGTCTGTCTTCCTGAGTGCACAAAGTATTGACAGATTAAGAGGACAGATGGTGATATAATGCAACAAATCAAGTTGAAGTGGAAACCAATTATGGAAAACAAGTTGAAGTGGAAACCAATTATGGAAAATAATCAACACTTGTAGCAGGTGATCACAACTTACAAAATCTGAAGTGCATCTTTTTGAAATACTAGACAATTCCCTTCACAAGTGTGTTTACAGGGGCTCATCATGTAAACATTCCACAAATCATTATCTTTGAGACGTCTATTTTAATTTGATTCCATAGTATGTTTACTATGGCGAGTTTCCTTTGGTCAACTGTAAACAAACAACACTGCCACACTGCACAAAACCTGACGAGCCCCTGTCTAGCACTAGTGGAGGGGACTGTACATGTACTGAGGAATTATCGTAAATTGTCTAGTAGGCCCTCCTTGAACACTGGTTAGGTTTCTTTAAAACGACGTGTACGGCAAGTCCAAGTTGGAGGAAATTATTATCTTATAAGAACACAGTAATAAGATTTAGGGAATGCAGCCGTGAAAATTCTCTGATTATTACGTAAACACAGATCTTTTTATATACTGTACCCATTAATGAGAAGCCCTACCAATACTGTATTTATATGAACTAAAAAATATACTAAATTCAAACAGACATTCCCATATGATAAAAAAAATAGAAACACCAAATCCACTTTGTTTTTGGAAACTTAGTTGTCAGAGGTAGATTATTTAATACAATACAGTGATATCTCTGTTAGCCGGAACAATTGGTGCAGAGCACTTTCGGGAATGAGAGATTCCGAGTAACGAGACGACTCTCTCAAAGCCGGAAAAAAATCCCTCACCCTCGGAATTTTCCGGGTGCAGTACGTCGGATAATTCGCGGATTTTTATTTCGCAGTCCTCTATTATTCGTAAATGACACCCTGGATGTACCCAAGAATGTCTGCGGGTAGTTTTAAAATCGACGGCATTTTCACGGCCAGTACGATAAGCACACGAGTTTTGTTATTTTGTATTTTGCATACACCAAAAATGAACAAAAACTGTTACAGTATAATAAACAAACAAAAATTTATTATATATGACAAATCATAAAATACAATAGAAATCAATTTATGTGCAAAAATATCTCTTTCCACTCTCAGACCGCCCTCTGGGTCACCACGACAGTACAGCCAAGAAGCTACCCGGAGACATGTATGTTGGTTAAGCTGTATGTATGCCCAGAATGTCACATTGGGGGAGACAGGCAGCTGGGCTGGAGACACAGGCAACAAACTACAGCTCCTCCCCGACTTACGACCGACTCGACTTACGTCCACCCGCACTTACGACCCGCCTCAGTCGTACCAAAATGTGGTCAAATTATGTATTTTTGAGTCCCAAGGTCAGTACACAGACAAAATTTTCATCTTTAAAATGGCTGGCAAGCTTAAAAGTGCGTGTCTTGTGGTGCTGAGAAGAAAAAGAGACCCAAATTTTCGATTTTCTATGTGTTATTTAAGCATTTCCGACTTACGACCATTTCGACTTACGACCTGGATGTCGGTCCCTAAACCCGTCGTAAGTCGGGGAGTACCTGTATACACACATTATAATAAAAAATTGGTATTATATGCATTTACAGTAAACTGAAATGGGCCAAACTAAGTCACTAGTAGCAATGACAAACCCCCCCTGCCCCAATAACACATACATACTGTACATTCACCTGTCCCACACAAAATACACACCCTCTCTCTTAATTTTCTTGTATTATAGTTTTATATTATATTTACCCTGTACAGTACTTTATTTTATAAGTTATATTGCCTTCATTTATAAGTCACATTAGAGTATTCATATGATTTTTCTACATATTTTATAGTTTTATTATATATAACTACGATATGTGTAGCTATCTCACATGCCACAGCTGGCGAGCAATGTGCTGTATGTTAAACGTATTTTGCTTTGCACACTTTGCTCTGATTGGCAGAAAGTGAAACAAAAAACAATGGTGATGTAATCTTGTTGGATTCCATTAATTTTTTTTCTTAATTTTAAGAAAAAAAAGTGAGTGGGAACTCTTCATAATAAAGAGGCTGCACTCATGCCACTTTGCAATTTATCAAGAACTTTAATTTTCTTTTCTAGTGTCATCACTTTAGGGTTAGTTTCACACAAACACACACACACACAATAAAAAATAGATCAACTCAGACAACATGCATTAGTTTAACTAAAGCTTACACAAGAGGGAGAAAGCAGGGGTGTAGGTGTGAGATGTGAAGTGGGAGGAAGGTGCGGGAGAGCTCTAGATCTAGAAAGTATGAGTGAGTGCACATTGAAGCGCGTATATTACAGTACTTGAATTCTCTGTACAATATTTGGCAAATAATTGACCACACTTATTTTTATTTTTACTGTATAAGTGAATCAGCGGTGCAGAATATATATGTTGGAGGAGGGTTTAGTTTTTATTTTCATGAAACAATAGGCCATAAATAAACAATATATGCACTGCATTACCTTGCTATCACATCCTAATGCAAGACTTCCAACAGGAGAAGTCATTGTAGGAGCAGTGTCATCAATTTTCACAGGTGACTCAACAGAGAGAGAAATCACATCTATGTTCTCTTCTGAGATGTCAATTGTGCCATTTGACTGATCCATCCTGAAATAAAAACATATATAGTACATAGAACTAAACTAAAGACCTTCACTTTAAAACACATATTATAACATTTAAATGATTTATGACAACCTTTATAAACAATATCTTCTGTACTAAACTGATTTTGAAGTATCAGAATAATGTGTACAATACAGTGCACCTAATTAACATACAATACTGTACTGTCTCTTAATATTATAAACGTTACACATGACTTTAAAACAGGCACCTCACAAACATTTTCCAATTATTGGTACCTACACAAGTAGTATCAAAAAATCAACTTAAATGCTGGAATTCTGTGGAAAAATCTTACCTGTTGGTTTGACTAACATTTTCATGAAGGATTATCAATTAATATACATGATTACAAGAAACAGGAATATGAAACAGCTCTTGAAAATAACACCAGGTGGTATCCAGGATACTTTTGGGCCAAAATTTTCAGCTTAATTCAACAAATTCTTCAAAGGTCAAAGTCACCTGCTCACTTAAGGATCAGTCATTATAAAAGCCCATAACTTGGGTATTAAAACACAAAAGATAAGATCATGCCCTGACACCTTGTTAAGGGCAATGTGGATACAGTGCACTGTAGAATAAGCCAGTTTTGTACATAAGGAGGGAGAATGGCTAGCACTGCACTTGACTAGTTTCACTTTCTTCAACTGTAAAGTTAAACATCCAGTAACAGCTAGGTGAACTTGTGATGCTCTGGACACAAACAAGTGACTCTTAGAACATGAGGCGAGGGTCGAGTCCACAGCCTTAAATGCATTTACTCTTTAAATCACAAGTTTAAGGATTCCAAATACTGTATCTCGGTTTTATGTTATAATTTTATATGGATGACACTACTTCTCTGAGCAATGTTAAAGGTCAACAAATTATATTTACACATCCACTTAACAAAAAACAACTTATAGATCATAAATGAAGATCAGGCTTTTATCTAAAGTGTTGTCATTGTATGTTTAACTTCAAGTGATTATCACATAAGTATAGACAGGGCCTAAGATAAAAGGTAACTACTGTACACAACAGTAGCTACTCACCAAAGAAACTACAATTATGATGTACAGACTTTCTTTCCTCATTTGTTATTAGGTCACCCCATCACCCAAGTATTTTATATTTACCAAGAGAGCTAGTTACTGTATACTGTACTGGACAATACAAAAACCACCAACATCAACCTTTCCACCATGGAGTATAACTGGGTTGAAGGCCAAGAGGCAGTCCTTTGCTAAATCCCAGGGTAATAATACACTACAGTACTTTTATGGCACTGGTGAGACCAGACGGAATAAGCAAGCCTCCTTCAGAGCGCATTCACACACACCTAATCCTTACCTTGCTTGTTATGTAGAGCACTTGACTGACAGTAACAATTTACTTTTTGTGGCAATCAGACGCCGAGGAAAATGGACACTAGCTGAAGAGTTGCTATATGTGATCTTCCTTGCCTTATTGAAGTTGGACCATTTTCTCTGAAATAAAAGTAAAGTTTTTTTTAAAACTGAATGGATAGTTCATTTCAACAAAATTTCAAATGTAACACACTTGCACGTACAGTCACCTACACTTATACTACCTGGTACAGTGGCCAGCGAGTTTTATGAAATGTGGAATCTGTGTTTGTTTACATCATATTAAAACTCCCAGAATGGCCTTAAGGAATGTTGCAATAATAGCCAGACTAAGGGGTGCTACATAAGCATTCCAGAGAGATGCCACATCTTAAAAAACGTCCCACCCACTGTTCTAGGTAAAAGAGCTGGCGAAAATATATACACAGGATCTCGGTCTGTAGTTTGGCCTTATTGAAAGTAAGTCTGAGTCTAATGACTACCTTATCAACTACCAGTACCAACCATCCTCCATACTGAGCCATAACCATCCTACAGAGCGAGAGGAAACTAAATCTTAGTTCAGTATCTGAAGCCTATCTCTCAAAAAAAAATAAAATAAATAAATAAAAATAAAAATAAATACAAAAAGGGGACAAATTTGTTAGTTATTTTCTTCTTGAAAAGACAAATATTTTCATACAGTACATGGGCTTTTGTAAATATTAAACTGTGTATGTGTATATAAAAATGCTCCCTAATTTATTTTATCGACGTGAGATTTCTGACACCATAAGTTCGTAAACAGAGGAAGACAGGTAAACCATGATAAACGATGTCTCGTTCAGCAATACAGTATTCCACTTTAACGATGGGCATGAATTAAGACCATCTCACTATATACACTCACTAAAAATCACTTGAACAATATCCATTGATATCCATTGGTTAGAATTTGTTTTAATCTCTAGTGCAAACTATGGGTTGTACAGTACAGTACCCGTATATACACAAATTAATCGCTGTCTTGTAAGGATTCCAGCGATACAAATTATATTTTTCTATATCAAATCAGTGACAGTTTATAAGGAAAATTTTTTTAACTCTATGCACCAGACATCTCTCATTTTACTGTCAGCTCTAATCACGCACTGCCACACAGCCAACCCACGCACTACAGCGCTCCGCTTGGTTCTTTGTCAATCGTAAACCCGCCCTCACGTTGCTCCACGATGATCGGTCAGAAGCGTAAATTGTACTTATCAGCGGTTTTTTTCTTATAATGAGGACAGAACCAACATTTTGATTGAACTGTGTTATGGTGTGTTTTTGTGACTAAGATGCTTCACCTCTGCTATTGTGAGAATGATATGAGCAGTGTTGGCCACTATCACTGTTTATATGTTATCATCGTTCGCTATGTTTCAGTGACAAGTGCTTTTTGCTCTGTTTTTTATGACTGTGAAGTGACCAGTGTAACTTTGACAATGTCTGGGAAGGCCAAGGCATCCAAGACAACCATGTCTCTGTAATGAAGCTTGACATTATTAAGCAGCAAGAGACTCCCCAGAGGCTGTGTGAGAGTGACGTTTCCACTCCACCTACAGTACAAGCGTTCCCTTCAAGCTGCAGTCCCCCACTAGAGTTTCTACCCAGAATAAATCCACCTTAGCGCTGATTTTTCAACGAACTTTCTGAGAAAATTACGGAAAATCTCTCCTAATTTTTTCTGGGTCTGGGAGTAAATTCAAGGTTAAATTTAGGTGCATTTTCTGGAAAATTCGGAGAAAACTTCCAGAAACACTCCTTTTTTTCTGAGTCAGTCTGGGAGCAAATTTTGAGGATGAAATAATGTGTAATTTTGGAAAATTATGAGAAAATTCTGGAAACTCTCCAATTTTGGGGGGTTGGGGTCTGGGAGCAAATTCCAAGGATGAAATGATGTTTAGACCCACAGAAATTTTTCCCATTACCCGGAACAATTCCGGGGCTGTGGAAGACCTCTGCAGAATTATTTTGGGTAACAGAGATATTACTATAGGGAGCTTAGTATGGACCACTTGTCCTGAATTGCCCCAACTTTATTTAATCAACTTTAACACTCTTATGAACCAATGATGAATGTATCGTCATTGAAAAACATTACGTTTGTAAACTGATCGCCCATATGCTCGCAGCTAAGTGACAGCTTGCCACACTAGGTTTATCTTGGGAGGTTTGAGAAAGAATTAACAGTTTCAATCTCAAGTGCTGCTGCTACTTAAGTTCTCTATACACTTAAATTTTTTTAGCTCAAAAAGCCCACCTATATTGCACCCCAGAAGCTTTTTCCTACTGTTTCCAGTACAGTACATCACAGCTTCTTTCTGTTTAAAGACTCACTGACATCTGCTATGGTCGTATATACACTCATTACAGAAAGTGTCTGCAAGGTGACTCCGATGAATTTCAAAATGAACACTACGACTCCTGTTGTCTCGGTAGGGTTGTCAAAATCCTTCATTCATTGTGTAATAGTGTGTAGCAATTTTTTTTGCAAATACTTGTTGTAGTGAGTGTTCAAGAGCTCTAAAAGGTTGTTCATCACTGTTCATACAACATCTTGGCCAAACCAATTCTAATACAAGTATGGTACAGTAAATTCAAGTCGAGGCATTCCGGTATCAACTTATGGTACAGAATTCTTACCAGGATTGCACTGAGCAAGCTGTCATTGTTTTGTAATACTGTACTGTACTGTACTGGATGGCAAGAATTGACGTACTGATCCATGGAATCCCATTGTATAGTGAAGCCCCGAATTAGGCTGCTAAAGTATATGGCACCCATTAAGCCATTGATCAAGATCAAAGAGGTCTCAAATTGGTTGCTGGGACTACCTAAATTAGTAAACCTTCCCTATTGTAAATACAGCCCTTAAAAAGAAAAATACAAGAGGAAACGTAGGTTGTCAGACAAGTATGTGCCATCACAGAAGCTACTGCACACCTCACTTCCTGGCTTCAATCCCAACTCATCCCCAAGATTTCCAAACAAACCCACAAGAGGGACAGAGGGTTTTAAAGATAGCTACTTCGGACTTGCCTCAGCCATAAAATTGAATTTCAGAATTACTCTTTCATTTGTGGTAAGCTACCCATTACTTTAAGTTGAATGAACTGATGCCACATAAAATGGCATGACACTTGTTCAATGATAATATAATACAACAGCCCAAAGGAAAGTTAACTCTACTTTTGGGCAATATACAATAATTTAAGGGACAAGGACAGTAACCTTAAAGCCTTGCCAATACCACACAGTTAATGGCTCAATGTAAGGGCCAGGTACAAGACATATTGTTGTTTGGAGCGTATCACTTGCATCCATGACAGTCTGATGAGTAACTGACTGGGGTCAAAGGTCAAGGTCACAGCTGAAGATCACATGACAACAATAGTAACAAGCACATGTAATGCACTTGTCATCATATTAATCTCTTACAAGTTTACAGTATCAACATTTAATACTTTACATATCTTGTGTACATTCTCGCAAGCTTTAGGATAAGAATTCTGATTGGCTTCTTGTTATCAAAAACATCATCTTAGTGGCACCTGATTACTTAGTGTAAAGCAGGGTATTATGTCATCTGTTGCCACCCAAAGAATTTTGAGAATTTTATGGTTGCAATCAATAGATTAGAAAATTCTAGGACACTTTTCTTCTCTGACGTTTCCCTCACAAACTACTTATAATATGCCGGGGTAACCAGGGAGGTGGAGCCCCTGGTTAGGAGGTTAGGTTAGGTTGTTTGCGAGAGAAATGACATAAAAGAAGTGTCTTAGAATTTTCTAATCTATTGATTGCAACCAAAAAATTCTCAAAATTATTCAGGTGGCAACAAGTTAAATTTTACCTAAAGCAAACCAAAAATCTTGTAAACACTTGGTTTGTGATTATCTGAACTTTAATCATTCTCACAAGTTTATATCCAACAAAGAAAAGGGGAGTGTTCAGTTTAGCTCCGCCAATTTATTTTTGGATATACTGTACACTGCACTGTACTTTGATGGGATCTTTACTCTTGTGTTTTTTGAATGCAGATAAATAAATAAATTCAGTTAGGGAACAAGGAAAAAAAAATTGAAAACTATATACTGAAAAGATCATTCCATATAAACTAAAACTACTATAGGATGACTAAATTAAAGGTTAGGTTGTAGGGGTCATCTTTATAATGGGTTCTCAAGCATGTCTATCTTTGCTATCCACTCCAGCCAGACTTGTATTCAATGCAGTAAAACACACTTCAAAAGCATCCAGGAATACAGTAGTGGGACTGAGGATTGATAGAGAAAATGCCACAGTTTTCTTGTGGCAAATCTGGTGCTCTATTAAGGAACAAAAGGTGAAAACTCGGTTATATGGAGAAATAGCTAACATTCTGCTTACAATAATAAAATAAAATAAAAAATATTTTATAATAATGTACAACAGTCCTTAGAGCTCTCTGACCTAACAGTCTTAAATCTGAGTTACTTTATTTTAAAGCTATTTGACCACAACCACATTATACTCTTTGATTCTTAATAACAAAACGTAGTCAAGAAAATGGACTTAGCTGCCCAAAGGTTGACACATATCCTAACAAAGAAATATATAACCCAGACAGGCATATTTTTTTTTTTACATCCTTGTGTAAGGTGAAGCGCAGAAGCGTTTACAGCGCCCAACAGGGAAGCATGCTAAGTTCATGCTTGCCTTTATGTCTCAAGAGTTAAGGGCGTAGAAGCCTGAAGAGTCAAAGGCGTAGAAGCCTGAAGAGTCAAGGGCGTAGAAGCCTGAAGAGTCAGTGGTTTATGTCTTCAAGTTATTGTTAGCTCCAACAACTTGTCCCTGAATACGAATTCGCAACTTTCGACTTACAACAGGTACCTACTTTACTGCTAGGTGAACAGGGACTAATGGGGGCTAGGAATTATGTCCAAGCAACTTCCACCGGCCCGGGAATCGAACCCGTGACATCTTGCTTGTGAGGCAAGAGCGGTACCACTTCTACCACCGCCCCCCCCCCAGACAGGCAATAATACACCCGATTTCAATGGCACCATAAGCACAAAAATTGTATACACAATGACACAACAAATCAAATTGTTCTTCATTAAGTAACTACATCATAAGTCCCTGAGACACTTCCCTAGACAACTCTTCTCCACACAGGTCAGTCTTGGGAAGGTTGTCAACATTCACAGTAAATGCACATAACCTGTAAGAACCCATTAAAATATAACCTTCCTAAATATCATTATTATACTGAAGCGAATACAGTTTAACAATACATACAATACACAAGTATTACCATTACACAGGTATATAAAGTTAACAACAGGTTCTACTTCACCATCAACCAATCCTTCCTTGGCTGTCACATCAAGTTTAACCACAAATTTATCTGTACTTGTTATTCATCATTATTTTAATCTTAATGACAGAAAGAGATAAATATTTTTCCAAGCGGGAGCCTTAAGATCAAGTTAGGAGGTAATTACCAGCACTGCCAGAGTAAAACACAGTAATACTTCTCACCTAAAGCTTCTTCTCTACGGCACTCATATTAGGCCGGGCAAAAACATCTTTTATTTTTTTATTTGTAAAAAAATATTGTCCTTAATTTATAAATTCTTATTACACTTATGGTTACGCATAATAGTTTGTCATTATATATCTGTAATGCTATATTGTTTATATATTGTGGAAATTTTACTTTGCAGAGTGTTCTACGGTAAGTTGCCAAACATGTAGTCCCTCCTGGTTGACTCTGTGTGAGGATAACCAACTCTGGCATTATGACATTTTTATTATTATTATTCACTGTGGCAGCACTAACAGAGGAACCGTGGTATTCTAGTTTTTCGACACGGACAGTAGAGTAATTGTAAATTGTATTGCGTGCTTTTACTTAGTAAGCTAACCCCATGTAGTGAGCTTTTGAAACATGTAATTCAAGTTAGAAATTAGACTCACATTAAAAGACAGGTAAACCACAGACGTAAACTATCTTGGTGCAGTATTTTAAAACACTGTACTTCCAACTTTTATTGAATGGCAAATATCTGCCTCAATTACACACAATTGCAGGGTCTCAATTGTTTCTCTTAATATTGACAACACAAGAGTCATATATTGTTTCTCACTTGATTTTTTTTTCATTTTGTATTTATGGTTCTTTATTATTATTATTATTATTATTATTATTATTATTATTATTATTACATTATCGCCCCCTAGGCCCCGATGTGGGTCAGTGACCTGTGCCTGGGTGGACTAATCCCCGTAAAAAAAAAAATGATGTCATCGGTCATCGAAAATGCGATTTGAAACAAGATCTGGTGCTACTATAGCGAGCGGTCTTCACTATATTTCGGTTAAATTAGGCTAGGTCAGGTTAGGTTAGATTAGGTCAGGTGAGATTAGATTATATTAAATTAGGTTAAGTTAGGTTTAGACAAACGATATCTTTGTAGATCGCTCGCTATAGTAGCACCAAGTCTTGTTTAAAAAAGGTAGTTTTGATGACCGATGACATCCTCATCTGTTGATAATTGACATTCAATGGAAGCTTGAAGTACCTTGGCTCACACCATTGAGCTGTAAGTAAAGTGTTTTCAAATACTGCAATATACTGTAAGTACGGGGATTAAGATAGTTTACGTTTGTGATTTATCTGAAGAGAAACCTTAAATAATGTAAACAGTTTGAAAGTAATCGGAGAGTGACTTACACAGTGTACTGCACATTATGGAATTTTTCCTTCCTGAGAGTACTTACATGTAAACAAAATAAGAGTTTGGTGCTTGAAGCATTAAATGCCAAGAAAGACTGAGATTTAATCAAAATAAGAAAAAAATGGCATATGCCTTGAGGCTAGGAGTAAGGGATACATTACATCATCTTTAGGCACAGCAATACTATTTCCAGTCGTGTAGACAAGAATCATGTGCAATAATAGATTAACAGGGAAGTAATATGTAAATGTAATAACCTAGTATGTATAATGCCATAATCACCCCCCCCCTCACACATGCGCATTTTTCTATACATATTCATGCACACACCAACACATCTCTTCGCTATAAAAGTATGCACATTTTTGGATTATACCTACACTTACCCATTTTATACATTACAATCTTATGGAGGAGAAAAAGGCTACATTAATTATGAATATTTATTTACAATATTTAACAAAGTTTATATACTTTTCCAGATATGAATACATATGTTTTAACAGCTTTCATCAGCATTTACAGTATGTCATTCAGAACACCCCTGGCGAGTCCAGAAATTGAGTCTGTACACTGTATGAGTCCATACACTGAGTCTAGACACTATGAGTCTGTACACTGTATACGTCCAGACACAGTATGAATCTAGATACTGTATGTGTCTGAATATTGTATGAGTTCAAAGATTGTATGAGTCCAGATACTGCATGAGTCCAGACATGATGGGTCAACATGACCACTGTGAGTGAGGAACATGAAGGATGGCACAAGGTGTGTGAGCCTTAAGCCAACGCCATGACTAGTAGAGAGGAACACAGACTGCAAGGTGGGCGAGCTGACGACCCCTTGGTACACACACACACACACACGCGGGTAGAATCCCAAACTTTATACCAATACATAAAATTATATTTATTTAATCCTTTAGCAGATTAATAAAGACCGCAATAAACCAGTATTTTCCTTCTTATTATATTGTAGTACAGTTTGGTATTATAATTTCATTTATAAGGCATTAACAGAGAGCAATGCTTTTCTCCTAAATGATATATTTGGGCGCTTGTTACACCAACGGTCCAACACACAAAGTACTCTCATTGGTCACACTCTGTACAGCGCCACAGTGAGTGAGTTTACAGAATGGACGTGTGAGAGCTGTTTATAATTCCTGAAAACACAATACATATTATTAGTGTTCGAATATGTATTGTCCCACAGCTGAGGCCATGAAATAAATGTCTCTGAGTTCAAGGCTTGTGGAGCCATTCACTGAGGGCTGAAGAACCAATGACACACTTGCATGCAATGCGTTTTAGTATAAAATTTACCTTATATTATAAAATATTTTGCATAAATGATTTCATAAAACACTAATTCATTAAAATTTATTTCTGCTGTATATGCATCTTTGTTTAATACGTATTATAACAAAGCATTAGATTTACTGAGAGTGAAATGAGTACATTGCCTCATCTTTCTTTCGTGTGTGTCTGAGGTGAAACTTGTATTGTGTGAGGAGGGGGAGGGCTGTCTAACAAAATGACATACATACATACATACATACATACATACATACATACAGGTTAGTCTTAATTAAAATTGGCACATTACTTGGTCGTTTTCTAGCCCCCGATATGATAAATTTTTGGATTCACAGACACACACACACGTTACTATCCTCTTATTCAGCCAGTGTTGGGGAGGCATATATTGTTATCCCTGTCTAAAGTCCTGTACTCGCGTCCATATATTTGTTGGTACACATCTAATCGCTTGATTCCTTCAATATATGACCAGATAACTTTTATATAAATCACGACTTAGGTTTGTTTGGCGCTTGATTATATATCGATAAATTCTAGCTGAGTTTTGACGCGGGCAGTTGACAAAAAATAAAAGGTATATTGTACAGACCAGCGAGTACTCAAGAGACTACACTCATTAATTAGAGCTACACAACCCTTACCAGAACCCCAACTGAGTTTTGTATTGAGGTTTTTGTTCGTAAAGGTTTGGTCAAGTTTGGCTTTGGTAGTTGTCATTCACGTTTTGATTCAGTTTATGGTCGCTAACTGATTTAGGAATCTGCGAGAACATCCTGTGTTAGCGCGTTCAGTACTGACATTCCAGTTTAACCTTCACGGAGCTTATGCGACAGTACAGTCGTGAGCAGAAGTCCTGTCGCCCCTTGTGCTGTTCCGCGAACCAAGAGATTCAGACTCATGAACCCGAAGCAGTAGACACTGATGCATTATTCTGCCCATAAATGCTTCGGATTCATGAGTCTGAATCTCAGGTTTCGTGGAGCAGCAGAAGGGGCGACAGGACTTTTGTTCACGAGTGTACAATACTTGCCAACAGTTCATAACGGAGACGACAGACTGCCCAAGCGGGTAACGATTCGCGAGCTATCGGTGGTGAAAAGGATAAAGTAAATAAAAATGGATTCATTATTGCACTCCACCCCCTAAACATACACAATACCAAGCTGTACTCCATACTGTACTGCCATTCAATCAGTGGCGCTTTTCTCTCGTTACTAAATAAAAACAGTTCCTATATACTGTACAGACAGGGATAAAACTATACAGTATACCCTCTCGAATCATATCGTGGGGCATAAATGACTCAAATGATTCTAAATAGGGTATAATAACCTTAGCTATTCAATATCTCATGTTTAATATTCCTGCAGTAATGTATTTTTTTATTATTATTCACTTTATTAATATAGACCAAGTACTGTATAATGTAACAATGGTAATGTGACCAAGTGTATTGTAATAATGGTTGTGTGTGACCAAGTGGTAACAACACGAGTTAGTGGTTTCAGCATGAATCTCGGTTGGGGTAAATGTCATGGTTCTTTAGGGGTAGTGGGATACATACAACACACTATAGAAAGTAGTATGGCCGGTGTTGTGCAAAATATCTACCGTACGAAATAAGTCACACCTGACATTTTTGCAGAATAGCTATGCAAAATAAGTCCCACCACAAAATATCTATCTCGGTGTGGTATTAGATAGGATTTCAATAAAGCTATTGTTGTTTAATATCGTGACCTCAGCGTATCCAGTGAGTTGCCCATGGCTCACGGCATGAGAGTACTGAGTTATAAATATAGGGATAATGTTTCCCTATGTGGTTTCTACTTAGGTATAGTGTGGCTTCTATTGGTGTGAAAGGGAGGGAGTAGTCCTTTGGCCAACGTTCAGGTGGCTTCCGTTAATTAGTTAGCCTGAGTCTTGGATGATGTATGTAGGAGGGGGAGCAAATGTAGGTCTCTGATGGGGTTGGGGGGGGTGACATAGGGGTCTCAATCTCCCATCTCCCTATAATCAACCAGCAATAACTAAAATCACCAACCATCACTTGTATTCCGATGATTTGATCAAAGAGTTGAAGGATATTCTAGAATCTGGGTACTTTTTCGCAGGCTGTCAGCGGGTATGTTGACATGCGCCGAACGGATGGTTTCTGGTTTAGCGCATGCGCAGTCTACGAGTATATCGCATGTGAAATATATTCCACAATACCTGGCACTACATTCGACTGCTTTTATTTCCCAAATAAATTTTGGTTCTCTTTTATAGACAAGTCACATGGAGTGCCCCGAACCCGGACGCAAACCAGCGTACCTTAGGCGAGCGTTGTATTCTTTGGCCGCCGCACCCTAGGTGGATGTGAGCACAGTACATAATTATTAAGTTGGTGGGTATGGACAAGTCCCTGACCTGGTGGGTGTGAATAGATTGAGGTTTCATGACTAAAATTACACCTCGTATTTGAAACTTGGCGTGAAACAACAACGTTTGACGACTATATCATGTAATGTACTGACAGGGGTTGAGGAGTGGTACAGGTCAAGAATAAAATACTGTTTTTAGTCCTTGGTATAGGTGTCCTTGTGTGTATCAGTGTAAGGCTTTGGCCAACCTTAACCTCGTACCTCACTGCTCACCGGCAGTAGCCTCGTGGCTCCATGGTATATAATGTTTGTTCACACTAACCAATTCTTGAACATTTTTGGATAATCATAAGAAGGTTGACAAGTATTGTAAATTTGAGGGATTGTCTTAATAATGTGAAATGTACATTAGTGATCCCCCATTTGGCCTTCCCCGGCTTACAGTTATAGAGGCAGTGATGAGGATGCCTCGCGAGGGGTACAGTACATGACAGTATAAGAATATTCCCCTGAACTTACACTAAGCGTAATACTAGTCAAGTGTTAGTTATCTAGTGGTTGGTGTAGACTGTCTGATGTTAGAGTGTGTAAACGTGTTTTGCTGGACGGTAGATGTTTTGTGTGGGCTGGGGAAATGGGTGGTAGGGAGGGGCTGGTCTGTGGGCATCATCTGATTGTGAGTTATTCTCTGTTGCTGGGTATGGGCGGTGTTGGTGGGCGCGGTGTGATACACTGGTGAACTGAGTGAGGTGGTACTTGTTGAACACTGTGACTGTGGTGCCAGACTGACTGTTCCCTTGTTATTGTGTATGTGCACCACTTCCTGATGCTGCCCCAGCTGCTGCTGATGGTGCTGGTGTTGCTGGTGTTGTTGTTGTTGTTGTTGTTGTTGTTGTTGTTGTTGTGCTTGCTGGTGGGGAAGTTTACTGCGATGCTGAAGACTTTTATGGTTAGCTAAAGCATTGCGAGTACGGTAGTGTTTGTTGCAGACGTCACACTTGTGTTGGTAGGTGGTGGTGGAAGAGTGCTGATCACGGATGTGTGTGGGCAGGTGGGTCCTCTTGCTCAGCCACTTGTAGCAGATGGGGCACTGCTGCTGCCGCCTGGGGTCCACTGCAATGAAACACCGACACACTCATCAACAGCCTGCATAAACAATATTTAACACTGATGTAACTAACTTCTTGTTGCTCTCCTTCACAAACAAGTTTCAGTTACTAGTCTGGATTTGTTCTCGGTCAAGATGCACTTGTGTACATATTTTTGTGTTTGCTTACTAAAATACACGAAGAACTCCATATAACAGTATTATTATGCATAATCTCAATTTTATTTTTGTTTTTTACAAGACCCCAACCAAGACTCCCAACATGTGACCTTTTGCTGCAACCCCTCTCCAGTTTCGGTGTAAAGTGGCCGAAGTCAAGAACAACATAGATTTTTCCTCACATCCAAACATTCATCCATTCTAGCTGCTGCAACGGACAGACAAGTTCTGCTCTAGTGTTCCTCTTCCGCAACAAGGCCTCAAGACTTCCATCTTCCATTATTCTTGCCATTTCACACCACCCAGCAGCACGTCCATCCCTAGAAGACACTCAGCACAATGTTCCTCCATCGATCACACACACACACACACACACACACACGCATCACTGCATCACTCGTATCTGGTAACCCAACAATGTCAACACACCTCACAATTACGTCAAGTACTCCTCGATGACGAAATTTAGTAAAGACCACAGTTGATGGTTTCTACTGTAAGCTTTCAGGTCTAATTTATCCTCATAATACAGACCCTATGGTGATACATCCATAGACTCTACCTTAACATAAAGGCGTCTCATACGAGGTTTCCAAGTGCTGCATGTATCCCAATACACGTCCGGTATAATAACCTATCCGTAAGACGCTACATCATGTTATACATACTTTTACCATTTAAAATTCTAATGGATTTCAGTGGGACGAACTGTACCAACCAATCATCAGGATGGGTGAGAGGCGCCATCACTGTCTCAAATGACTAACTTGAAGGAGGGAGAGTTGTTTCCAAGTGATGACGTGACCACTCACAGCTCACTTGGTGGTTTACAACTGAAAGCCTTAGAGAGCGACCCCCTTGTAGAGCCCCCAGGCCTAACCTGCCACACTGATGGTCTAAGCTGATCTTGCCCATCTAATATTATTTGTTTTTTCATTCTATGGTGACGTCTCATACATGTTAACAAGTGACTGGGCCTAGTTTCTCAAGGGTTCCTAAGTAATATTTCTCGTACAGTACCTGGAGATGTAAGAATACACCTAACTGGTTAACTTGAGCTAAAACACCCTAAAAACACCAACGGTACAATAAGACTCGACCTTAACTGGATACTTGCACTTAGCGCCATGTACTGTGTGACTGTTTCTAGGTAAGGTAATTTTAGTGTAATTTTTACGGTTTTTACCATAGTTTTTGCACTTTAAGTCAACAGTTAGATATGCATTTCCATATTCAACTGCGACTCATAATGTTTGTATGATCTTTTGATAATCTGATCCTGGTATGTTGAATAAATGTGACCTGTGGTGTGGCTCGCGACATGAATGAAAATATTCTGTGAGTGTAGGAAGTCAGCAGACCAACATACTGTAAGTCGAGGCTCCTACCTGTGAATCAAGCACAATATTGTCTTACTGTGTACGTCATTCATCACCACTTAAGACTGGTGACTTACGACTTACTTGACATTTAAGACGAATATAAACTGGAGTGTCGCCTGAGGAGGACAATGTTCACTTGACATTCACAACTCTGAAGGTCACAGTAAACCTGCTGGGGAGGTCACGTGTAAAGGTTAATAGTACAAATGTATAAATTTTCATTTTAATTCCTTAAATAATATTACACATACATCTGTTTCACATCAAAACCAGAAATAATGAGACCAAAAAGAAAAAACTGGTTTATATCTTACACTCCGCAGCACATTGCTATAGCTACGCCTAAATGAAAATTGGTAATATAATGACTCAAGGATATTTAACTTCCACTAAACATAAAAGATTGATACGTTTGGTACAAACAAATTGTAATATATAATGTATATTCCGGTAAAGGCAAACCGAGTGTTGTGTTGTGGTGTGCGGGGCGGGGCGGGGCAGGACAGGTAGGTGGTGAGTGTCGTGCTCCATGGCTGCCACACTCATACATGTTGTACCCGTAGGTGAGGTGGCCGTGGCACGTTTTTTATTCTTTATCACACAAAATATCCAAAGACTTTTATCACGACTTTCCAGAATCGAGCGGAAAATATCTGGGACAAGTGTTGTGATCAGCGAGAATTAGTTGTTACTCTGACATTCACTGTTTGGAAATTGGAAATTTAGTAACCTAACAAAATTACTTTACAAGGAATCGTACATTTGTATCAAAACATACCTGTTACAATAAAATAATTTTAATAAAACTTAAACTTAAAGTTAAGTGAGAAATACTTTACAAAAACCAGCACCACTCAGCTACAGAAAGTCAAAACTGATGTTTTATTACTTTGTTTTCTCCTCTCCTCTCTTGTTATCCTTCTTCTGGTACACATCACGTAATTGTAGTACTGTACCCGGGTCTGTATCTGAACTATGAGGTACTGTACTCTCCCCAACAAAAGTCGCCTCGCCTCACCAGCCTCTTCATGAACCCTCAGTGAGACTCAGAGACCTGTTTCGGTTTCACAGGTCTGAATCTCTGGGTTCATGAAGAGGTAGGTAAGGGGAGAGGACTTTAGCTGGAGAGTGTACAATACGTGAGGACGCCGCTGTACTGTACTTCACCTGCACCAGTCTCTTGATGGTGTACAATGCTGGAGAAATACCACGAACGGGACCATGAAACCATTTTTGAATGCACACGACACTTAACCAACTAAACCAGACCCAACGAGCCAAGGCTAGTTTATTTGTAGATGGGTTAGGTTAGGTTTGGTTGGTTCATATCGTCTGTTCTGGTATTGTTCGTGTACAGTACTTTGTCAACACCTTACGTCATGCCTTAAACGAACGGGTGGTAATGACCGTAGAGAGTATGAGAACGTTATACCGCCGCCTCGCCATGAGGTAAAGGTAAACTACTCGAGTTCGTATATAACCTCCCGCATTTTAGTTGGATCCAGGAGAGTCGTACATACTGCAAGAGGGATATCCCATTATGGTTGTGATATTATATGGTTGTGGCAATACTGTAGGAAACTCTTATTTAACACTCTCAACACTTTCACTCGTGTATTAATGTTCATTATATTGTTTTTACATTCTTCAGTAAATATTGCATTTTTATTTAACAACAAAATAAATATAGATGTAAATTTAAGCCTCATGGAAGTTTAATTTACTCACAGAGCTGCTGTAAGTACAACTGCAAAGTTTTCTGCTGAGCAACTAATACCTTGAAATAGTTTGATTGAAATGTGGCCAAATTTTTCGCAAATGTCAAAAGTTAAACTCTGAATAAAAAGAGGAAGCTTCCCAGTACATGATCAAAGTTATCGAGCCATGCCATTCTATATCGTCTTGTAATATCTCGGGGCTAAAGTGACATTTGTCCGTGTTGTCCTCCGGCATTACTATTGTTAAACACCTTATTCATCCGTAGTCTTAACTCCACCACTTTATGGGATGAAAGTCTTATAAATACCATGATTTTACACTTGATAGTGCCGGAAGAACACTGGTTTCAGTGGATGTAAAACTGATATAATTTAGTTTAGTTGTGTTAAATTTGTCAGCGATGGCAAACACTCAACTGACGTAGAAACTGTCACTATTAAACTACACTAATGTTGTTCTACAGCACAACTGATTCTCCCTGCCTCTCTTACCTCCATAACTTGGATCATCAGACATTTTCATTGCTACTACAGCTTGGGAAATTTCATATGGAAAATAAAAATGCACAGGATTTAAATAAAAATTCAAGGGCTCTCAAGTCCTTGAAAATCTGATCTAAAGACTCCAGGGTTTTCCAGATTTTCCAGGACTCTTGCGAATCCTGCGTGGGTGTTTTGTGCATAGTCTTGCGGTGTGTGTCCGTGTGTGATGTTGGTAGGGGCCTGGGAGTGTGGGTGGTGGGCGGGCTGTGTGGGTGTGTGTTCTAGATGTTGGGCGTCGGTTTGTGGGTCGGCAGTGGTGTGTGGGAGCGTTAATGGGTGGGTAAAGGCGTCGAGCTGGCGGGCGGTGACGTGGTGGACGCGGTACATATGTGTCAACACGTTGGAGCGGTTGCGACAATTCTTGCCGCACACGGGACAGAGGGCGGCGCTGGGGTCGTGAGGTGTGTGGTGGTCACGGACGTGTCGGCTGAGGTTACTGCGTGACCTGAACTCCCGCCCGCAGTGGGTACACCTGTGGCCAGACCCGCCGCCCACCGCCGCCCGCGTCCCGTAGTGGTCGTCCGCAACGTTGTTGTGGGTGACATGAGTGGCGTGGGAGTAGCGCCGTCCGTTGGTGTCGTCACACGTCACCACTCTCGGGCTCACCGCCGTCACCACTTCTGGAAGGACAACCCAGCCGTCAGATAGACGCACCCACCGACCCTCTCACCCACACCTACAACATAATATATCTCACGCTACACACCACAACACTACACTCTTCTTCACATACAAGATAAACCTCTACCCTATACTTTCGTGCCCTTGGCGTTTTCGTTTACTAAACATAGTATATAAAACGACAAATTACATATTGGCATCAGAAACAAACTGTTGAGGTATATTAGTCTTCAGCAAGAGTATGATACACGAAGTATGAGAGTTGAGGTACATTTTAGCTACCGTAGGTGGCTCAGTGTTGGGAGGTGGCGGTGGTTGTGGTGGTGGGCAGCTAGCACTTGTGTGTCTCACTCATCACAGTGTTGGTAGCACCACACACCTGGTACTTGGCCTCCTCCACCATACTTAACTCCACCTGCGGCTCTAGCTGTTGCCCGCCAGGTTGTTGTAGCTGGCTATACAGGTGCTGTTGCACCTGCTGTGCCTGTTGCTGCACCTGTTGTGCTTGCTGCTGCATCTGCTGTGTCTGCTGTTGCACTTGTTGTGCTTGATGCTGCACCTGATGTGGCTGGTGACCTGTAGGCAGCTGGTTAACACGGGAGGGGTCGTGGGTGTTGGGTGAGCCATGGAGGCCATGGGCGGGCATGGGTTGGGCAGTGGCTATGGCGTGCTGGAGCGCCTGGTCCCTGTTCTTCTCCTCACGGTGGTACATGGTGATGTGGTAGCGCAGAGAGTTCTTGGACGAGTACTTCTTGTTGCAGTACGGGCACGTGAACACCTGAGGCACGGCAGCGTGCAGGTCCCGCACGTGCGTGTTCAAGTTGGACTTGGAGGAATAACTCTTGAAGCAGTGAGGACACTTGTACGGTTTGTAGCGCCCATCTGAAATGAAGCAAAACACGGGCGGTGAGGCAACCATCCGATCCAAGAGTGGGTGGACCCCCCTGTGCCTGGTTGTGTGGTGGAGGGGCGAGGCCCGCACCACAACCACCACCTTATACTACACCAACACTAAACTTTCTACTTGTGTTACACTCCTTTCAAAATGCTTCCTGTGCACCTCCACCAGGCACTACCACTTGCTACACTTAGCAGACAACAACAACACACTCCGCTACAATATTATCTACTTGGGTTGCGATCACCTCACTACGTTGGCTCTTGTTCAGCCACAATCAGGCAGTATTGTCACCGTGTGTCATGTGGCAAATACGGTGACGACTAACACATTGTATAGAGAGAGCCGCAAGCTGTTGTTGAGACACCTACCTCCGCTGTTATCACTTTACGCGACGCACACCACCGTGACAGTTGTTAACAGTGCAACCACAAGGAAGGTGTCTCGGGAGAGGGGGGGTGTACCGTCACCTTGGTGAGTTTGTTCATACAGGACAATGTAACTATTTCACGCGGTAATAAACAGTACATTAAATTGCTTATACAGCCCAGTACAGTAGAGCAGCACACTAACTCCATTATGGTGTGTGCATACATAACATTTTTCTAAGGTGACAGTTGATGAGGGAGATGACAGTCTACTGAAGAAGACAGTCAACTCAGAGAGGTGACACTCTACTCAAAGAGGTGGCAGCCTACTGAGGGAGAAGATGGTTTACTGAGGGAGGTGACAGTCTACTGAGAGACGTAACAGTCTACTGAGGAAGAAGATGGTTTACTGAGGGAGGTGACAGTCTACTGAGAGACGTAACAGTCTACTGAGGAAGAAGACAGTCTACTAAGGGAGAAGACAGGGTGCTACTATAGCGTGCGGTCTACAAAGGTATCTTTAGTCTAACCTAACCTAACCTGACCTAACATAACCTAACCTGATCTAATATAACCTAACCTGACCCAACTTGACCTAATATAACCTAACCTGACCTAACCTAACATAAGCTAAATATCTTGTAGACCGCACGCTATAGTAGCACCGAAGACAGTCTACTGACGGAGATGACAGTCTACTGAAAGGAATGACAATCTACCAAGGGAAGTCAGTCTACTGAAAAAGACGGTCTATTGAGGGAGGTAACAGTTAACAGAGATAGGGGACAGTCTATTGAGGTAAATGACTGTAAACTGAGAGACGTAACACTATATTCTGTGATGTAACGGTTTACTGAGGAAGGTAACAGTCTACTGAGATGACGATCTACTGAAGAAGGTAACAGTCTACTGAGAGATGACGATCTACTGAGGAAGGTAACAGTCTACTGAGAGATGACGATCTACTGAGGAAGGTAACAGTCTACTGAGGAAGGTAACAGTCTACTGAGAGATGACGATCTACTGAGGAAGGTAACAGTCTACTGAGAGATGACGATCTACTGAGGAAGGTAACAGTCTACTGAGAGATGACGATCTACTGAGGAAGGTAACAGTCTACTGAGAGAGATGACGATCTACTGAGAGGAAGGTAACAGTCTACTGAGGAAGGTAACAGTCTACTGAGAGATGACGATCTACTGAGGAAGGTAACAGTCTACTGAGAGATGACGATCTACTGAGGGCGTAACAGTCTACTGAGAGATGACGATCTACTGAGGAAGGTAACAGTCTACTGAGAGATGACGATCTACTGAGGAAGGTAACAGTCTACTGAGGAAGGTAACAGTCTACTTAGAGATGACGATCTACTGAGGAAGGTAACAGTCTACTGAGGAAGGTAACAGTCTACTTAGAGATAACGATCTACTGAGGAAGGTAACAGTCTACTGAGGAAGGTAACAGTCTACTGAGAGATGACGATCTACTGAGGAAGGTAACAGTCTACTGGAGTAGATGACGATCTACTGAGGAAGGTAACAGTCTACTGAGATGACGATCTACTGAGGAAGGTAACAGTCTACTGAGAGAGATGACGCTCTACTGAGGAAGGTAAATAGTCTACTGAGAGATGACGATCTACTGAGGAAGGTAACAACAGTCTACTGAGGAAGGTAACAGTCTACTGAGGAAGGTAACAGTCTACTGAGTGAAGGTAACAGTCTACTGAGGAAGGTAACAGTCTACTGAGGAAGGTACAGTCTACTGAGAGATGACGATCTACTGAGGAAGGTAACAGTCTACTGAGAGATGACGATCTACTGAGAGGAAGGTAACAGTCTACTGAGGAAGGTAACAGTCTACTGAGAGATGGCACCTACTGAGGAAGGTAAGTCTACTGAGGAAGGTAACAGTCTACTGAGAGATGACGATCTACTGAGGAAGGTAACAGTCTACTGAGAGATGGCGATCTACTGAGGAAGGTAACAGTCTACTGAGGAAGGTAACAGTCTACTGAGAGATGACGATCTACTGAGGAAGGTAACAGATCTACTGAGGAAGGTAACAGTCTACTGAGAGATGACGATCTACTGAGGAAGGTAACAGTCTACTGAGGAAGGTAACAGTCTACTGAGAGATGACGATCTACTGAGGATGGAAACAGTCTACTGAGAGATGACGATCTACTGAGGAAGGTAACAGTCTACTGAGAGATGACGATCTACTGAGGAAGGTAACAGTCTACTGAGGAAGGTAACAGTCTACTGAGAGATGACGATCTACTGAGGATGGAAACAGTCTACTGAGAGATGACGATCTACTGAGGAAGGTAACAGTCTACTGAGAGATGACGATCTACTGAGGTTGATGACATGTAACTGAGACAGGTGAATTACTGAGGATAGGGAGGTGGCAGTCTATTCAGTGAGGTGAAAGTGTACTGAGGGAGAAGACTGTATACTGAGGGAGATGACTGTCGACAGAGGGAAGTAACAGTCTTCTAAGGAAGAAGACAGTCTATTGAGGGAGATGACAGTCTAGTACAGTAGGTAGCAGTCTAATAAAGTAGGCAACAGTCAAGTAAAGGAGGTAACAGTCTCATACAGTAGGTCACAGCCTAGTAAAGTAGGCAACAGTCAAGTAAAGGAGGTAACAGTCTAGTAAAGTAGGTAACAGCCAAGTAAAGTAGGCAACAGTCAAGTAAAGGAGGTAACAGTCTCATACAGTAGGTAACAGCCTAGTAAAGTAGGTAACAGTCTAGTAAAGTAGGTAACAGGCTACAAATGTACAGTAGATGCTAGTCTACCAAGGGAGGTGACAGTCTACTGACAGTCCCTCAACTTCGCCGTCGCCTCAGACAAATTTCAACAAGGACAACAACAATGGCGGACAAATTACGGAGCGTGGATGTTATGTAAGGTGAGGGAGGCCGGCGGGGGGTGTGTACCCTGGCCTGGCCCTCCTCCACCTCCTCCATTACCACCCCTGATCTACACGGCCAGGCAATAGACAACCTCCCTAGACCATCATCCGCCAGTAGGGTCGGCGGAATATGAAATAAGGCCCTTAAAACACCCATGTATGGGATAGGGTAGGATGTCTAGTGCCTGTACCGACAGACAACTAACCCATGACACAACCCTAACACACTATTAGCTTAGCTAGGCGGTCAGCCCGCCCTCTCTTACCTCCTCCTAAACTTCTTCAATTTCCGAACTATAACTTCCTCCCCCCCACCTCTAATCTTCTTTCACCCCTTATTTCTCTAAAAAAAAAAAAACTCCTCCATCCTCACCACTACCTCCTCCCCCCACCCTCACCAGCACCACCTCCTCCTCCTTCTCCACCCTCACCACCACCTCACTACCCTCACTCTCTACAAACTAACACTTGGTGACTACGAATATAACAATAACAACAGCCTTTCTCTCTCCCTCCACACACACACACACGCACGACATTACACCATAGAAAACGAGATGTAGGAGTTAGAAGCCGCGACAAGAGGAGAGAGGCGGTGTAGGAGAGGTGGGTCCTGTGCCGTTCTGCCGCTCGGCATTACAGATCCTCCTTGTTTTCCCCCCAGGACGATGATGAACACACCGCCCTCTATCTACCACTACTATAAACAGTCTACACACGACATTATCTACCATCTAATCTAATTCGTGCAAGCTAACACAATTGGGTTAATTTATGTCATACAAGAATTCTCGGATCAAAATTAATAATGTGTATAATCAACAATTCCTGCGTAACACGTGTGTGACTCAGCCTCTTGCTGGGTGTGGTAGATATAGTATAAGCGTGGCAGTGTGTTGACATTGTTGACACGGGGAAGAGAGGGGAGGGGGACGTGATTGTTCAGCCTGGGATAAAAATGTGAGGATGGTGGTGAGTGCGGGAGACAGCGGGGCGGCGGCCAGGCTGTGTGTGTGTGTATGTGTGCGTGTGCCTGTGTGTGTGCCTGTGTGTGTAGGTGTGTGCGTGTGTGTGTGGGGGTCACTGGAGACGAGGAGGAAGGCGCCCGCTATTGATTGATGACAAGACGTGGTCCCTCTCCCACCCCACACACACACACACACAAACACATACATACACACACACACACAAGCGCACAAGCTCACATACTGTACACACACACACACACACACACAGAAGCTGGTACACGTACACACATACACAAACTATCACACAGGATGAATAAAAATGATATATGTATTGTCAAGCTTTGAATGAATTGAAATACTCTGATGGTGATATGAATAGGATACATCTACAAATACCTCGACACGATACTTTGAAAATACCCAGTACACTTCTGAGGTGGCCAGACAAGTGGGGACTGTGTGAGTGTGTGAGACTATTGTAGACAGTCAACCAATAAGTGAGGTTAGGTTAGGTTATGAGTACTGAAGTGAATGTGTAGACAGTAATTATCACAATATGAAGTACTGGAAGGCGAAAATTTATGCTGGTGAAAGAGATTGAGAAAGAGAAACGTCAGACCGAAGGGTATTTCAAGGTGATGCTCTGTCACCTCTGTTCTTTACTTAGTCAGTGAGTCTATATAGTGACCGAAAGTGACGTGTACGGAACAACAGTGATAGAATGGTGCAAGTAACCGGAGCAGGTGTAATATCTCGAACTTAACGAACACTCAGCAATTTATACAATACTTGAAAGGATTTAGTTAGATTGAGAATTTGTTTTTAATATTTTGATCTGGTGAGTAGGTATTAGTGAGTGAGGTGAGAGAGGTGAGGTGAGGGTACTGGTCCGGCAGCCACACTCACTCACAGCTCGGGTTACCAGTAAATACCTCCGAGTTAAGTGTGGAATAGATAAATGTACAATAACAGTAAGGCAGGAGGGAAGCGGTCAAGACATATAAGGGATGAAACTACTGGCAAGAGAACAAATGAACTGTGAGAGAGAGAGAGAGAGAGAGAGAGAGAGAGAGAGAGAGAGAGAGAGCACTGGGTGGTGAATATGACCAAAGTAGAATATTTTAGTAGAAGTAAGAAGAGACTGAAGAAAATACATTAGCGAGACAGACCTGAGCAGTAACTGTAGTGGGAGGTGGAAGGAGGGGGGTGGGGTGATGACTGGACAATAGGTGAGTGAGAAGAAGGAAAAGTCACTACACTCGTCATCCCTCACGTCTTAGGAAATACCACAAGTCATTAACAAAGAATAATAATTTGTTCAACTTCCACTAAAGTAGGAAATCACTGATGTCCCAACACCTCCCATATTATAGTAACATGGGGACCTAATCACTATTAAGGTGGTCAGGTAGTCCATGGATAAGGAAGTTTTAATGTTATATCCTCCTGGTGAGTGGCTGGCATGTGGGAGGCGAGGGATAAGAATAGAAGTTACAGTGAAGACCTCATTACACCCGCGAGGAAATATACACGTGAAGGGGAGGAGGAAGAGGTGGATGAACGTCTGGGAACATGGTGAACAGTACACCAGTAAATTATCCCATACACTACACCTGAACTAAAGCCAGTGGAGGAATGTTCATTGAAGCCCCCCCCAAAAAAAAATTAAT